TTGCAGACCGTCTCCCGTTTATTAACTCAGTTTTCAAAATGTTAGTGACAGTTTTTAACAACATTAAAATTCAAAGGCAAAATGGAGTTCCAACGTATTTGTAAAATTGCTAGTTAAACATGTGAGGTTTCGGGTTCTCACGGCTGTGAATGTGGAGATTGTGACGCACCAGTCTCTCGCGGAAGAACCTGTTGCCTCCATGCTCAGACTTTCCACCAAGACACTGGTGCCAGTTTACGAAACTACTCGGCGTACATCCCAGAAGACCGTTATCTTCATTTGCGAATGTTTTGAACGTTGCTTGTGGAGTGTCTGCCGTTAAGTACGGTATACCGAATGCTTTGGGACAGCCGGCGTTGGCACTCGTCGCGAGCTATGTTTAGCCTGTTGTTGGTCCGCCCAGAACTGCGTGGAGTTAGTCGCTGCCGAGTGAGACTTAGTGTAGGAAGCAGCCCTGGATATTCCATACCTTCATACAATTAACAGGTAGGAAGGAGTTCTTATGCCGGCCTGACATTTGACGTCTGGAAATGTATGAACAGTCAAGTCCTCGGTTCCTTCATTGTGCTAGGTGAATAAAATGAGGTACTAAATCCGGTTCTTCAGCAGGGGGCACCTTGCAAGCCGCGTGTTTGTGAAGTGGAGAATCTCGAGACACATGAATGGAGACGGTCTTCAAGGGATGCAATTTAGAAACATTTATGAATTAAGGAGACTTCGTTTATTCACAAATCACCGAAATCATGAAATGTTATGTCTCGATCGGTGAATTCTTGAAAGACTGTATATGTGAACTCGAGTGTGACACGTAATAAGCGTACTGGGCTGGCCAGTTCTGGAAGCACAGGCCTGTTCTGTGTTGAATTGCTGGTATAAGCGAAAAGTGTAATCGATTGCAGATTCCTCAGAGAACAAATTATTTGTTACGTCATTGCGTGCGAGGTAACACACAGTAGGTCAGTGAATGAGGCGTCATCCATCTTTGTGATATTTCGTGAAATTCACTTTGTTTTTAATCGACATTTGTGCAGTTCAGCTAGCGCAAATAATTACAGACAATTCTGTGGGAATTGTCGTCCTCTCCAGTTTCATGACAAAACTCCGTAATTCGAATGCTGAGGTTGTGGCTTCTTGTGTGCCTACAGGGCCCGTCAGGTGTGTTCAGTAATGGTTATGATTAGTTCAGATTTGAATTTTTATACAATCCCAGTAAGCCTAATACGTGTACACCAGAAGAAATATGTGGATATTGATATTTTAGATAGCAGGCAAATGGCCTGCTGAAGCTATTACTAAATTTATGTTTATCTGAGGGAAAGGCAGTAAGGATTTTTAATTTAGATCAAAACCGATATGATATTTCGTTTGCGAAATCATACTGCTCAAAACTGAAAGAGTACGGGGTTTGTAATCTGATGTGGCACCAAGCCTGTACCTACCGTTTCGGTTGTATTCTTGTGCCAATCTCCGGAGTAGGGTCAGCATGTCTACAGGCAAATATAGACAATTACAATTATATTTAGTCATTAATTGTTATTTTATTTTATAGATAAAAGAAGGATTTCCCTAAGGTGAATGCACACTCTACGTAAAGACAGGCACGGAACGGACCGACAAAGGAATCTCAAATGTACTCAGAGTTGCTGACATTTTGGACTTTGACCACTGTCCGGTATTCTAGAAACTAGAAAACAGCGTTTCAGAAAGTGAATCTGTTTCCGTCCTCAGGTGAGTTGGCTCGGAAACAGAATCAGTTTCCAAAGCTTTGTGTGTTCTAGTTTCTAGAATACCGGACAGTGGTCAAAGTCCAAAATGTCAGCAATTCTGAGTATTATACACCACCATCAGAACCGTTTATAATCTAAATCTAAAATGTATTTTGACCGCATGTTCATGTCTTACGTCACGGACAGACACCTGCCGAAAAAGGGCGGAGGTATTTCTTGGTGTGTCGGCGCCTGTCGGCCGTGGTGAGCACTGCAGGTGCTCAAGGGTGAGACTGATCTTGATGCTCCGCTGTATGCAGGTCACTGTCTGCCCGCTGATTGCCCGTTCCCTCTCGGGGTCGTTACGTGTAGTGCGGAGGGGCCATCACTCTGTAACCAGCGATCAAGCATCAAACTTAAATACGAGTATCGAAAATATGGTGGGAAAATGTGTTGTTCGGTGAGGGCATCCCAGGGTTGGGGGTGGGGGGCGGTAATGAATGATTATGGAGCAATAGGTGATCCATTTTTTTAAGATTTACTGTTTGGTGCTGCTCTGTAAAATGTTTTATGACGTTCTGCAGTGCTTTTTTTCGGCTTATACACGATTGTGCACTTACTGGCAAATAATTGATGTGTGCCGGCACCGTTGCCGGGTGCAGTGTTATATTTTGCTATTGATGGTAAAACCAAGCATAAGAGTTCAGCAAACACGTTCTTTTTTAGTCTGCTTTCCTTATTTAAAAGAAGCAGGATTGAGCGATCTTCATGCTGTCTCTATGTCTGTGAACCTCCCCCCATTAACATTTGAATGCCTTAACCAATCTTTATTAAACTTCGTGTGCATATCGTAGCCCGTCTGAACACAGTAGTTCATAAATTCCTCCCATTAGTCTGTGAATCTGTTTTCTGTGAGATCCGTCTGTTATCAAAGGAAAGAATGAGATTGGTTATTCTCATAACTAATTTTAACTTAAAAGGAAACTCGGACTGGAAAAATTCCCGGCGCTTTTGTATCATTTGTATATCATTAAGAGCTGCAGAGTTCGGGAAACTCGCTCAGATTTGCCCCGCGTGGATTGTTCTACACGTGTGTAACAGAAACATCTATCAAGAAAAATGTCATTTCGGTTGTGGATTTCATGTTGAAATGTTTTACGAGTTTGCAGTAACTCAGGGTTCTGTGTTTGGGTAAAAGATAGCATTTATATTTTTAATATAAGTTAAACTAAGTTGTTAGTTGTGATAGTTTGTTTAGAAAAGTCACAGATCGCTCTGAGGTTGTTACTATTTTTACCCGGGATGCGGTAAAATACACGGCGTACCAACCAATAAAGGATATGCAGTGACACAAATAATGCGTGATTCAAAGCGGCGATCCATTTTTGTTTTCGCGTCATGCATCTTTCCCTCTCTGCGCTTCACATCACGTGACTGATTCCTGTGCTGTTGGACGTCAAATCTGTGGTTCGGCATGGACAGTTGAAATTTTAATGAATATGTCCACTGTTCGTAAAAAGTAATTAAAAAAAACGTTTGGTTGTGGAAATCGATAATGTATGATTCAGTAAACGTTTCGCAGTCGCAATTTTTGTGTTTCCAGTTTCAGAACCATCATTTACCCACAGTGTCATATTCTTATTCTTGCTACAGTTACTTTCACTTGCCCAGATTATATGTTAGAGAATAGTGATTTAGAAAGCGGTTACTGACCCATTTAAAGAACTACGCCATCCAAGAATTTTTTGTAGGGACTGAGGAAACCACAAAACACGTCACAACAGTCAGTGTACTAGTATTTGAACCCTGGACCTCCTGAGTATGACACAGGATTGCTATTCACTAAAATGGGTCGTTGAGTAACATGATGTCAATTTTTAAATATCTCTTTGTTGTTCTGTGTCATGTACTTAGCTTCCTGCTAATATAGTTCAAAGATTCTGCACCAGCACTTCCAAACTATCACCGGGCATGATCCTTATTCAGTTCCATGCAATTCAAGTTTTCAGAATCTACCTCTCTATGATCTTAATGTTAACTTTTCATCTTGTTGATCTATCACATTCCAGGCACTTTTCACATCAACATTCTGTGCATATTTGTTGTCTCCTATGTCTGAGCTATACTTCAGCCCAGAAATGGAGCAAGTGTAAGTGACATGTGTAAATTACAGCATTCCTTGTTATGTGCTATCCATTGCAGTACACTCAGTGTCTTTCTGGTATAAACATTTTCTTAAACATTTCATTTTAAAATACTTATAATTGCGTTTTTCACTCAAAGTAAGAGACCACATGGAATACATCTATCAGAATTATCGTTTGTATGAATAAAAACAATCATTCTCTGTTCTCTAGGGTTCTTATCATTGTAGCATATGGTAAAGCTGACTGACTCTTTATGGCCACTAATGACAGCAAAACTTATACACATCCTTAAAAGATACTGTGTATTTCAGCTGCTTGGCTGAATATTGTTCAAGTGAATTATAGCTGCCCCTTGGTTTCTAGAATTATTCATAGACATTTTATGTGTGTTGACTTAATTAGTATAGTTGTAATTAATTGCTGGATTATATAGAAAAGTATTAAACTTGGTCTCTAACACTGAGGGAGGAATGTAGACTGAGGGTGTTTGAGAACAGGGTGGTGAGAATATTTGGACCAAAGGGGGACTAAGTGACAGGAGGTGGGAGAAAACAGCGTAATGGGAGCTTCATAACTTGTACGCTTTGTCAAGTATAATTAGAATGATCAAGTCAATGAGGACGAGATGGAAAGGAATGTAGAACGAATGGGAGCGGAGAGAAATGTATGTGGGTATGTGGGATATTGGTGGGAAAGCCAGAAGGAAAGAAACCACTAGGAAGACCAAGATATAGTATGTGTGTGAACAATAGTAAAATGGAAGTTAGAAATATACGATGGGGTGATATGGACTGGATTGATCTGGCTCAGGATAGGGACCAGTGGCAAGTTTTTGAGTAGCTGTACAATTGGCAACTTCTAAAGAAGGGCTCAACTTCTTGAAGTTTAGTTTTAGTTTAGCTTTATACAGAAAAGTATTAGAACCAGAAACACTTTTTATCTTTGTAATACTTGTAACAGTGCACAGAAGATTGTATATGGCTATCATGGTGCTAAATGCATTCCTGTATGGATTACTAATTACATACTTTGTAGGCATCTTGATGTACATGTATTTAGGATGGGATTGTGCTTCACATGTTTTTTGCTCCTGATGCTTTTGTATACCTGCCCTGATGTTGCTCTTAGCTCATTAATTCTGTTGCAGGAGCACAGCCAGCAGCTTGGCGACGACAAGAGTCTGTCCGAACATCTCAAGCTTCCAATACAACGCATCAACGATTATCAGCTCCTACTTAAGGTTAGTGCCCTCTTCCACTAACTCAGGCTGAAAGTCAGGAAGAACTTAATATGTACTAAGCATATATTCTAAATTAATTGGTGATGGTGTCTGTTTAATCTGGGTGTAGAAAATTCACTTTGTGAAGGCAAAGAATTTTTGTTAAATGCTGACAAAATATTCTTATGTATTATTTCCATTAATTGCATCACACAGCGGGGTTTTTTTTTTTTTGCGCTGCAGCCCCAATTTGGGCCTTGGCTTGCCCCCAAGAGATTCTCCATTTCGCTTCAGTTTACTGCATCTTAGACATCCGGTAGGACTCCTTGGGCAGGTGATCAGCTCATCGCAAGGCCTCTACTTGTATACAAACACAGAAAAATGCGTGCACACACACACAAACAAACACTAAACCACCATGCCTTGAGTAGGATTCAAACCTACGATCCCGGCTACCGAGTGAGTAAAGACAGTGCATGCCTTAGGCAGCACCTACACGAGCGCACAAAGTGTGTCCGTTGTAATGAACATCATGACGTCCATTGTAGAAATAAATAAGAGAGGCGAATGCCACGCTTTCTTCTGGCTCCATTGCAGACAAAAAACTATGCATTGCATTCTGCAGTTGTGTGGTGTCCTCAGCAAAGTACATTCGTTACAACGGACGCATTTTGTGCGCTCGTGTAGATGGTGCCTTAGGCTGCTCGGTTACCGTGACCGGCACACAATGGATTTACTGAATAATAGTTCTTTGTAGGAGTTGTACACAGGCTTACCACAAAACATTTGGATTATTTAAATATTCTCTGTCAGTGTCGATCATTTTATAGCATCAGATGTGAAACTAAGGAATGTTATGATGGGTGTGAATGGTGAATTGGACAGAATATGGGAGAAAGCGGTTATGGCTTCTTTCAATGCTCTACCTTGTCACTTTTGTAGAAGCACTGAGAAATTCCATGAAATAGTTGATCTTCCTTCCAGATAAAGTATAGGAATTCTACACTGTGATGTTCAGGAGGATACAAATGCTAACACCTGTTTTCTCTGTCATATTATTCCCACTATAGGATTCCAGAACTTTTATGAGATTGTTATAAGTTTTATGCTCAATCTCAGAAAAGTTTCTCATATTAAAGTGCATGAAACAGATGTACAGTCTATGGAACATTTTAGTTTGGCGAATATATAGTTAGATGTTATATTTTTATGTATTTAGATCTTCAGTATAGATAAAATATCTTGTGAGGTGAAAACTTGAAGACTGAGAAGCACTCAGTCAAACATTCCATTCAGTTATCTAGTATGGACAACCCTTACTTTGCAATGTATGTTTTCCTGTTTAGTTGGCAGTAATCCCAAGCCAAACATTTCTGGTGAAGTAATCGGTCTAGGAGGAACCATCTAATGGCTGGAAGTAGAGAAAACCAAGTAATGCCTTCCTTGGAAGCAGTCCAACAAAATATTTTCTGCTGTCGACTGAATTTTATAGTAAAAATCTAGAGCACAGTTTGTGAAATGTGACCTACTTATATACAGCAATGCAACCACAATTGATAGGCTTCTAAGGGAACTAGGAAACATGTTGATTGATGCTTTGAGTTAGGATGAACAGCAATCTGCAATGTAATGGGTTGGAACATTTTGCTAAACTTCATTCCATGAACAAAATTTGACCTCCCGGAGTTAGACAATTACTCCATCAAATATTCTGTCAATAAATCTATTGACACAAAATCATTTTGTCTATATGTGCCTGCAGTCTCTAATAACTTTAAAATTAACAGAGGAGTAGGTATGAAAACAAAAATTCATGAATATTACTGTTATCATCACAGTGCCAACAATCTTATCTCCATAACTCAGATTTAAGAGAATGTGTTGCATGTACAAGTATTAGACTAAATTTTTCAATTAAGAATTTTTATTATTATTAATTTGTGAGGTTGTTTGTCCAGTGCTCATATCCCGAACAGTGAGAGAGAACTTTGTTTTGGTGAGAAACATCTAGGAGAATGGTCATTTAGAAGGCCGATATGGAAAGGACAACATTAAAATAGTTTTTAAGGAATTTGGTTAGAAGTGGTTCAGAAAAGTGTCCATTTGTAGGATTTTTTTTTTTCCAGCAGAGTTGTAGAGGGTTAGTTGAGGGGGAGTGAGGCAAGAGCATGAATGGGTCAAGTGTGTTAGTCAGATGTTACTTTGAAGATGTTAAACTTATTTCCAAAATAACATACTAGTGCATTGATTAATGCTTTGGTCACCCTTCCAACCAGTTTGGTATGTGAATTTATAATAGTAAGTGAGGTTAAACCAGCAGTTAGTTCAGTCTTCCACTTCAACTAACAGGGAGAGATGCAATTCTGCAGGGATAATTGTCCCTCATTTGCTGGAATTTGACCTTGTGAAGTTTTCAGAGTTCCCTCCTTTGTACATTAGCACTTTCTGATCAAGCAAGTGTAAATTATTACATTTTATTAATCATTTAACTTGTCTCACTTGCCCCTTCAGTTTTTGCACTAGGGGAAGTGTGTACTCTCAGTTCCAGGATTATTTTAATGGCTTCAAGCAATGAACTCTTGATATATGATATGAGGGATTATGAATTTTGTATGAAACATTGGTATATCAAAATGCCTTGTAAAGAAGTTTCCTGCAGGACACCTTAACAAGTTAGATTTAGTTTGCTTGAATTATAAAAATTGCTGGGCCCAGATATGCCTGTGATTTTGCTAGAATATGCTAAAGTGGGTTAATGCTAATGTCTTCCTGCCCTTTCCAAGTCAGTAACAATCATCCTACTGTCTGATGACATCACACATGTACTCTTAACTGAACAAAGTATGATACTGAATCAGGACATGACATTCCTAATGTCTGAGTTTGACAATGTACATAGCTGGATGGAATTTTTTGTCATATTGTTTCTTTCTAGGTTATTTAGCAGCACTACAGCAAAAAAAAAATCTTTCTGATATATATATACGAGGGGGTACCCAAAAGAAACCGAACCTATTTTTTTTAAACTTATTTATTCAATTTTTAAGCACAAACCCTCAATCCCCTTCAAAGTACTCTCCACTTACACTAATACACTTGTCTAGTCTTTTATTCCATTTTTCAAAACGTTGTCTAAATTCATCTTTTGAGATGCTTGACAGCGCCTCCGTCGTTTTTTCCTTTCATGTCTCTTTTCATTCGAGGAAACAAAAAAAAGTCACACGGGGCAAGGTCGGGTGAGTATGGAGGGCGAGGAATAGGGGTCATACCATTTTTGGTCAAGAATTGTCGTACAGACAGGGCTGTGTGAGCAGGGGCATTGTCATGATGGAAAAACCAGTCACCCGACTGCCACAAATCTGGCCGCTGAGCTCCAAGTCCCGACAGCTCCACAATTTCTTCAATGGTCCGTCGTCGATCTTCCTTGATGATTTCACAAATTTTTTCAACATTTTCATGTGTTCGGGCCATGGAAGGACGACCAGAACGAGGTTTGTCATCAATTGACATTTCACCATTTTTGAAACGGGAAAACAACTTAAACACTTGAGTTTTCCCCATAGCATCGTCCTTGTACGCCGTTTTTAACATTTCAAGAGATTCTGTTCCACTTTTCCCGAACAAAAAGCAGAATTTCACTGCTGCACGCTGTTCACGAAAATCAGCCATTGCAAAAACGACGATCACACAAAACAGTTGTCACTATAAACTCTGCCGAAACTAGTCCTTACCTTCTGAAGCAACGGTAGTTGGCTTATCTACTCAGGAATGTTAGCTCTATGCGCTCATAGCGGCAAAACGTGGTACTACAAAAGCTCTGCCCACAAAAAAATTAGTTCGGTTTCTTTTGGGTACCCCATCATATACATGTGCGCGTGCGTGCGTGCGCGTGTGTGTGTGTGGGGGGGGGTTAAGGCACTATGCTACAAGTCAGAAGGTAGCGGGTTCAAATACCGATGAAGTCAATGGATTTTTTTCAGTTGACCTAATCCTTCTGGCCGCACTATGGCCCTGGGGTTCACTCTGCCTCTAACAGAAATGAGTACCAGGACCTTACCACCATCTTTGAGCCGACTGTCTAGATAATGTGGGACCCTTAACGTCTCACAACTCTATGGGCCTTCACGGCCTGGTACAGGGATAGCTTTACTTTTTATATCTTACAGGAATTATGTTAACCGTCAACACAACAAATATACTCAGTTTTAATGTTTTATATCAAACCAACGCCCAGTGTAGAACGCCCAGACAAGAATTGCATACTCCATATTGTATGATTATATAAAGATACATATCATGGGAATAGCATAGCAGTATCCACACACTAACAACTTGTACATCATAGAAACTTGTCTCTGGGCTCCATAACAAGACTTACTACGTAGAAAGCTTCAACAACAAGACCTACAAACAGCATACATGCTTAGTTCCTACACTGTAGCTGTGTTTTATGTAGCAGTCAGCTGTGACATGAGAAAGTTCACAAAATGTATGTAGATTGTGTGTGTGATGAAGGGTTATTACCTGCACCATCTGGTGTCTCTCTTAGCTGCCAGACCATTAAATATGAAGGGTGGATTCTTCAGGGTTGGGCTCATCCTGGACAGTAATCTAGCCCAGGGTTTAAGTCAGTGATCTTAAAGGAAGAAACTTATTTTGACGTTTATAATTTTGAGATCATTCCCAACAGATCTGACAAAGACAAAATCAGTATATAAATAATAATTTTTCCAAAAAAAGATGCTGATAGTCTGCAACATATGTATGTAGGCAATACATATTTTACTCATCTAGAATTCAATATTATGATCATCAGTGAGTCCAACATGCTAGGCCGTGAAATGAATTTATTTTTTGTTGAATTATAAAGTAATGTTATCTAATTAAGAGGTTAGCAATATAAGACTCATAGTGCTGAAAATATGCCTTAAGAAATTATGTCTTATGACTTCTAGACAGAACTCCTTGTAAGCTAATGATTTAAGTGGCAGGGGTGAAACTTTGGGCATAGATTATATGAAGCCAATTATGTAGAATTTATATTTGAACATTATTCTCATGGAGGATATACCTTTTGTTCTAAGGAGTTGGTGAAGTATTCCTCTCGGCTTGGTGAAGACACTAGCGATCTCCAGAAGGCTCTAGAGTTAATGCTTGGAGTGCCCCACCGGGCCAACGATATCAAGTTCATATCTAGCATTGAGGGTTACCACGGTAACATCCACAAGTTAGGCCGACTACTACGACACGTGAGTACATTTTGTGTCCGATCAATTCAGAGAACCAGAATCCTTCTTTAGAAGCTAATGGGCACTTAGATAGTCAAATCGCACTCCTCGTATTGCACCAGAAGGGTCACAAGAGTCGTATGGCTCTCCTGAGAAAGATAAATTCAGTCCACACCTTTGTACTCTGTTTTTTAAGATGCATTTTAACTTTATCGTTCCATCCACACCTGGGTCCTCTTTAAATACATGCTGTGTCTGCAACAGCCGTTCACTGGCAAAGACTTCTAACAGTGGAGATTCTTCACAGCCTGTACTCTCAACTGACTTTGTCCCTTTCTTGTAACCTCTCAGCACGGACCATGTATAAACACTCCTTATCCATTGCTATAGTCCAACTGTTGCATTATTAAGAATCTGGTGCCTAGCAACTGGAAGGTGTTTACCAGGTCATTGCCCAGAAACAGTCACTGTTTACAGAGTTGCTGCTTAGCAATGGGTCTATACGTCACAGTATGTTCACAAGAAATGAATATCTTTAATATTGAAATAAAAAATAAAAAAGAATGAACATACTTTGTGTTTGAAGAAAGTCGTCTTCTGGGTTTAGGCACCGTGTATTCTTCGTTTTGGCCGACGTTTCGGAGGAACGTAGCGCCTCCATCTTCAGAGCAGTTGAATGGCTTGGAATGCGGAGAGCAGTAGCTGTGGTGATAGGATGTGAAAGGTGCTGCTTATATACGAAGTAGGCAGGGGGGGTGGTTAGGGAGAACGGACCAATAGGAGCAGTGGGGAGCGATTAAGACCATATATGGTGTGTGTTGATTAAGGGAGGGGGGAGAAACGGCCAGAGAATCCAGGAACCTTGAGGTCAATAGCACTAGGAAGTGCTGTAGACAAGAAGAACCGGTAGGTTGGGGACAGGCTATTGACGTCAATGACATGACGAAGAACTGGTGTGGCTAGTTGGATTCTCTTGAGGGAAGAGATGCTACCATGTCTGTCGAGATTGTTGAGAGCGATAAAGGCCATTCCGTTCTCCCTAACCACCCCCCCTGCCTACTTCGTATATAAGCAGCACCTTTCACATCCTATCACCACAGCTACTGCTCTCCGCATTCCAAGCCATTCAACTGCTCTGAAGATGTAGGCGCTACGTTCCTCCGAAACGTCGGCCAAAACGAAGAATACACGGTGCCTAAACCCAGAAGACGACTTTCTTCATTGTCATCACTGTGAAAACCTCAAAACTTACATACTTTGTGTTTCCTTATTCTAATATAAGAAGAAACAAAATATTTTATTTTAAGAGCTGCAGAGTATCTGGATATTAAAACATTTTTTAAAAACCCTAAGTAGAAAAGAAAAGCAGAAACGTTGTATCCACATGTTAAAAAAAAGCTGAGTTAGTCACAGGGTTACTAAGGAAGACTTTTATTGCTGTAAATCTGTGAATCTAACTCTAGCATGAAATGTTCATCATCATCCTTCCCACCACGCTGCCACCACCACTGTCCTTTCCAGTAGTAGGCCTAATTGGCTTCCTATGGGACAGAATATAATGATACTATGTTTATAGGAGACCTTCAATAAGCTCTTTTTCCCTTTGAGTTGTTATGTTTTACACTATACCAGAGCTCATTCTTTCAAACATACTGTTTCACATTTCTACTCTATTATGTATAAACCCTTATTGTTGGAGAGATTTGTAATTCTGTTATTTTTCTTATATGTTATTGAAAATTGTTCTGCCTGCTTTCTACCCCACTGAAGACCAGAAGTCTTATGTTCAGATGCCTGACTGTTCATATTTATGTTTCAGGATTGGTTTACTGTATCTGACAGGGACGGGAAGTGCAAGGAGCGATACCTGTTTCTCTTCAAAGCCCGGATTCTTATCTGTAAAGTGCACCATATCGCGGATGACCGGTCAGTCTTTGTGCTCAAGGACATTATCCGTGTAAGTAGCCTGATACTCATAAAAGCCAAACTCTGTTTATTACTTGATGCTTACATCATATCAACTGAATTAAATTATATTGCGTTTTGTTTATAGTGTATAGGCTATAATTCCACAAGCTGACTTAGAAATAATTGTATAAAATGGATTAAAAGAAAAAGAATAACCAAATACACATTTGGGAGTGATTTTAACGTTTTTAAACGAACCCAAAAATGGTTATTTCTTGACTTTTGGTATATGGAGTTTTTGTGATATTCTACATCAGCAGTACCAAAAATATTTGCACTGAAATTATGTATATTTGACCTGGATTGTCTCCCTTAATTTCAGTGTGACTTATTTATATTGAGCTCTAACAGCATTACAATTTTTCTTACAAGTTACCTGAGGTTGAAGTAAATGATCTCAAGGACAACCCCTATACATTTGAGCTTCATCATATAGTTGCTGGGTTTGGCCGTTATCCTATCACTATCAGAGCACATTCTGATACTGTGAAACCAGCCTGGCTTAAGGAGATCCGACAGTATGCGTCAGACCTGTGTGAGTAAAACATTGTTACAGATTTTGTTAAATTATTCTTCAAATTTATTACCGGTAGCTCATACAAGTTGAAAAGAAAGGCTAATAAAGAAACATGTTGAAATTTATTGCATGAACCAGTAATAATAACCTTTTGCAGTTGCTCTAGCAGAACACGATGCAGATGATCTTCGTCTCCAGACTCCACTAGGTAATAATGAGGACAAGTCAGAACCTACTACACCCCCACCTCAAGAGCCATCAAAGGTATGTTGTAGAGGAAACCGATAAACAGATTTTATGTTTAACACACTTTTATTCTGTATGTATTATGGTTTTTGAGATAATTCTTATGCTATGCATACTTTTTCTAATTTTTACATTCAGCATTCAACATTGATATTCTGAATGCACGTGAAGTATCCTGAACAAAAGAATGGTGGCTTTCCAGACTCTTTATAGTACCGTTTTTAAAAAATATCTTTATCCATACATGCTCATTTCTGGTCATTTGCTGTGGTGCTTTTAAACTGTTGTGGCTTTAAGGTTCATTTTATAGTTTCCAAAGCATTTGCACATATGCCTGTTGCATGCATTTACTTTCAAAAGTAAGGTTTCTTCTAGAAAGGCCATTCCAATATGCTCCATACTCATTAACAATGTAAATTTGATCACATTACAGGTTGTCTTATAGCATGAAATTTTTTCTAGCTTTTGCCTGCCATATAGAGTCCACAGCCTGCCTGCCTCATTCACCGCAGGCTGTGACCTAGTCTTTTAACACACATTGCTACAAAAACATTTGGAAACAAATCTTCTAGATGCATCCTCTTCCCTTATTTTTACTATTGCCATTACACTTTCCCTTACTTTCCTACCCTAATTTCTACAGTAGTTTTCTGAGATGAGAAAAGGATGAAAGCCTAACTCCATTCTCAGCATTTTTAAGATTCTGTGTTAATATAAACAAAAAATCATGCTTTGATGGGTAGATAACATTCAAGTTGGATAATTCATGGCAAAATTATCAGGAATTCACTGTATTCTAAAAACTATCATAGAAGTATATGAACTTGTGCATTGCAGGCTCACAGAATGTTTGAGCTATGAGGAACACAGCCCATTAAATTAGAAATGTCTTTATCTGACCAAGTAATTACATCCATTGCTTTTACTTTTCATATTCCACTCATCATTCTGGAACGTTAATATACGTGTAGCCAGTACTGAAATCAATATTCTCTGTTATTTCCCTTTTCGTTATATATCATGAACAGATAATGAAGTAGTTTGTAATATAATATGTTTTACATTTATTTAAATAGGTACAACCGCCATTAAAATCAGCAGAAAACTGCTGTGAGACACAAGAGGTTTCAAGGGAGCTAGTAAAAACTGTGAATGGTCTTGACCCAGTTCAGGTAATTTAGTGTTAAATTTGAAATTTCTTTTAAGTTGTAACAGATTCAGCAAATCACACACTCACTATATTAGAGTGTGTGGTTAAATAATTGGGCTTTTGAGTTCTTTGTAGTATGGCGAGGAGAAATCTGGTTCCTTGATTCTGAAAATGGTTTTGTTAAAGACAAATTGTGAACACTGTCTCACCTTGCACTAATAAATGTAATGAAATTATAGTGTTCAAGCACATTGTAATAGTTTGCAAAACAAATGTTCATGGTTTGGAAATACTGTAGATTTTAAAAATAATTTTGACCTAAGTAAAATATATATTGTTTGTGTGTATTATTCTGTGTTTTTAATACTTGTGGTTTGTAAATCTAGAAGTAATTATGATTGCTTATTATAGGGACTGTGTTGTTAAATTCTATGCAAATATGATATTTTTACAGTTCTAAGACATCCATACTAAATAAAAGCTAAGAAACTCAAAACTACAATATGGCTAGAACTGTCCCTGTGTTACAGGCACTTGAAGTTGTTTTTACTGATTATGTATATCTTCATACTGATGCAGTGACATCTGTTGTGATATTGCTCTTGAGGCAGCACATGGTGAAGCCCAGAATGTGTGTTCTCAGTGTTGAGATATGCTTACTTTCTTCCATTTGGCTATTCTTTTAATCGTATTTTACTCCTGTCAGAAGAAGGGAGTTTCCCATAATACACACAGTATCTTTCCAACATGATGCTCCAGTCTTAATTTCATTTATTAACTAAACTACATAACCATTATTATTTTGTGTGATGTCACTAATCACAGCAATCATGAGAAAATATGCTTTTAGTGACAATGTTAATCACTGCTGAATGGCATACATTGCAGTAAAGTGCATGTTTTTGTGAAAGCCAGACTTCTGATGTTACTCAAATTCATTGTGAAGGCTGAGCAAAATTTGAGGTCAGTAAGTCTCTAAGTAGGTGTGCAGTAAACAGTTAACATGCTTAAAATGGCTGGGACTATGGCTGACAACATTAAAGGTGTTGTTGATAAAAAGAAAAGAGAACCCCAGAAGAGAGTGCATGTGTTCAACAAGCCTATCCACAATCCTATAAAATTTGAAAAATCATTTTTCTTAATTTCACTTAAGGGAAAAGCATGAAATCATCTCCATGCAAAATTCAAATGCACCGTCTGTAATTGAAGCACGAAGGCCAGACTTCGTTTTTCTGGTCCACATCTACGGTTTTTAGAGGGTAATCTGCTGTTCTTCCATGTGTATGGTTAACTTACAGGATGTGTTTTAATTTGAAAAACTAAGTGGAAATGATACATGTACAAGTACGTGGGGGACAGAAAGCCCCGTGCAGTAATGGAGACATCACTGAAACGCCAAACACTCACAGTGTGGTGCGCTGTGTCAGCTCATTCATGGACCAGGATATTGTGTACACTGAGCATTGTCTCCGGTCCTCAAATACTGAGGTGGAACAAAATAATGGAAAGGCCACAGATACTGTACACATTTCATTAACAACATGGTGTTGGACCACCTTTTGCCTTCAGTAACCTAGCAGAATTTTATACCATTTTCTTGAAGACAGTCTTCACATTACTTTAGAGATGTTGGAGTTGGGAACCTGTTCTTCATCCTAGTCTCCAAAAGTGACCAGAGTGGTTCGATTATGCTCAAATGTGGTAATTATGCTGGCCAAGGAAGGTGCTGAAGTTGACCTTGCTCTTTGAATCATGACTGAACAGTTCCAGCTATGTGAATGGAAAACTCCATCATTGTTCGGAAATAACATCTGGATCATGGGCAGCACCTGATCACCCAGCCTGTCCACAAACTTCCTTGCAGTAATTTGGCCATAAAGTGTAATAATGGGACCAATGGAATTGTACCTCAATACTGCTCACCAAATGAACACAGAACCTCCCCCGTGTTTCACTGTTGGAACCAGGCATTCTGGGTTGTAGGCCTGCTTGGGTGTTCTCCAATTATAAACTCTTCCTGATATATGGAACAGCATGAAGTATGAATCATTTAACCATATCTTGCACATGTTTCTATTTGTCTAATGTCCCGGTTTTAAGGTTGTGACACCATCGTTTATGCATCTGAGCATTGCTTTCAGCAGTGAGAGGTTTAGCAGCTTCAGCTGTTGAATCTGTGGAGCTCACATTAGACAGTTTTTGTGGAAACAAGGTCTTCAAGATGAATATTCAGTTCTGCTGCAGTTCATCTGTGCAGCAGTAGTTCTGTGATTTTCCGAAACAGTCCTTCACAATGTACGGCGATCTCTTTCTGTCAGTATTGATTTTCGCTCGCTGTTCCTCCTCGCTGGTGCTGTCTTCCCGTGATTCGTGTATGCCGACATGACCTCAGAAACTGTCACTCTCAGTGCAGCTAATACTGTGGCAGTTTTTGTCACAGCCAACACAAACAAATTCTGTTCCTCAATTTCTTAGTGTTTCCATTACTTTGTTCACCTCCTTTATGTAGGTACCAATTTTGAGTAAAATTTTTTTGACGGTTTGTGTTCAGCTGCAAGCAGCAAATGCAATTTAGAATGTTCTCAATGACATCTGCATAACTCAGTTCATTCTGATTTATCTCCTGCATATGTTGGGTATGGCTGATTATGGCCAGTAAATGCTTCATTTCTGAACCCATTCATGTGGGATTCCGTTGAAGATCCAATTCACAGAAACATTCCAAACTTATTTTAAAAACAGAAGAAATTTCAGCAGTGTTCACTCTTCTAAAACTGCTGTATTTAGTGATATCGAACACAGCCATGCTTCTAAGGCATTCTGATGTTGTATAACACTCAGGACTACTGGGTTTTGGGGCTTTGTCTACTGTCCAGTATTCCAAAGAATACAAAACACAACGTTTTGCAAACATGATATATTTCATAAAATCAATACAAAGTCCGTCGAGTGTAACAATGTTTTTTAGGTCACTTCTTTCTCACTCTTGCCTTACATGTTTCGGTTTTAGTAAAACCATCTTCAGAGGCACATGGTACTAACAAGAAAACACTGGCGTTGTTAAACTGTACACAGTATATATGCTGTGTGGGCACTGCTACAAATGTCGATGTGTAAAAGCACAACACTAGCTTGGAGTACTGAATGCACGTACAGAATGCACGTTCAACCTTCGCATTCAATCCGAAGTTGCCCTCACGTTAAAACATCACTATTAAAATATTTGAAAAATATTTAAAAGTTTAAGACTTTTGAAGTAAAATATAAAAATGTTAGGCTGCTTCTTAATTTATCCATTGTATCCAATTTGTATTGATTTTATGTATAATAGTGTAACGGACCAAAATGAAACAATTCAAAACAATTCAAAATGATATATTTCCTTCCTCCAATGGTTGAGGTTGACTCCATCTAACAGACCCAACAGAGTAGGTGTCTCCCACCTCTCGCCCGGGGGCAGATGCTGATCCAGCTTCCTAAATGTTTTGTTCTTTCATGTTCTTTAGGATACCAGCTGATGGAGGAAGTCCAGAAACGCAATATTCCCAACAGTCATGCTTGCTATGCATTTCAGTTAAGAAATAAAATTAAAAATATTACGTTGTTTTGAAACAATCCTTTGTTTTTCTTCTTGCATTTTTTTATTTTCTCTCACAATTTTTATAGTCCATTGCATTAATCATAAAACAATTTTCCATTGGATTTTATTAAGTATATACACTATTAGAAATATTTAAGATAAAAATTATGGATTTTTAAAGATGTTTGTATTTTTATATCATGTACAATTCTTTTGTATGATGGACTGATTCATAAAATTTCATAAGGCGTTTTTTTGAGTGTCATGCAACGTACAAGTTGGATGGCGTGAATGAATTTTGAGCCTACACTCTAACATTGAATTTTATAAAATTCCATTGAATAGGTTTAAGATTAAACTTCCAGACTGATGGACGAACAGACATGACCTCTTCCTTATTATTTGTTCCCTTTATGTACTTAGTGCAAATAACAAGTGAATAAAATTGTATTCTTAAGGAAAGTTATTATTTATGAAGAAAAATGATTTTTCTTTTGATTCTAGCTACTATTTGTTTTGAGCACTGAAGAATTAAATCTATGGAAAGTAATTCTTTTACAGGAACCAGAGAGGGCAATAGAAGCTGTAAGGAAGGTTCCTGAACAGAAAGCAGAACCTGAAATTGAAGTTCCTAAAGAGAACATCGAGCCAGGACTCAAAACTGCTGAGGTGAAAGCAGAGTTAGAAGTTAAGGATTCTAAATCTAAATTAGAATCTAATATCAAGGGGTTTTCTAATAATAAGTCAGAGCCAGAAATCAAAGATCCTGAAGAGATAGTAGAGCCAGAAATTGGGTTCACCGAAGAAAAATTATATCCTGAAATTAAGGGTCATGAAAAGAAACCACAGTCTGAAGTCAAGGCTACTGAAGAGGAACCAGAACCAGAAGTAAAGGTTCCTGAAAATAAATCTGAGCCTGAAATTAGAGCACCTGAAGAGAAACCAGAGCCAGAAATAAGGGCTTCTGAGAAGAAACTAGAGCCAGTGACAAAGGTGCCAGAAAAGAAGGAAGGACTTGAAATTGAAGTTTCTGATAAACTAGAACCAGAAATAAGGGCTTCTGAAAAGAATCAAGTTCCTGAAATTCAGCCTCTTGAAAAAAAGCCAGAGACAGCGAACGAGGTTTCTGAAAAGAAACCAGCGTCGGGAAAACTAGATCCTGAACTTGAAGCTGTTGTAAAGAAATTAGAGCCCGGAATCGAGGTTCCTGAAAAGAAGCCAGAATTAGAAGTCAGGGCTCCTGAAACAAAGCAACAACCTGAAATAATTGCCTCTGAAGAGGAGGCAGAACCAGAAGTAAAGTTTCTTGAAAAAAAATCAGAGCCAGAAATCAAAGTTGCTGAAAAGAACGCAGAAATTGCACCAAATACTCAGGACAAGAAGCCTGAATCAGCAAAGAGGAAAGAGGACAAGGCAGTAGTGTCTATTGCATCTTCACAGCCAGCAAACAAGAAAGTCAAGGTTAGTTATTTGTAATAAGTAGATGAGGTTTGCAGCTGATACTAGAGGAAATAGCAAATTTCATGGTTAATCAATTAACTAGATTGACAAAATGCTTAGTTCTGAGAGTAGATACATGTATACACTCACATGCTTGTGAATGTGCAGACACACACACACATACACAAGCATGTGTGTATGTTTATCTCAGCAGACATTCTTCGTTTATGATCATAAGCTCCTTTATCTGCAGGTTAACGGGTTTGAAAGTGACACAGCCATGGCGCACTTCCAGTCAGTGACATCTGTAAAAGGTACTATGCACATGAGTTCAAGTTGTGATAGTGTGAAGTTCTGTCTGCTATTGACTGTGTCCCTTGGAAATATTTTATAGCCATACTTCTCGGTTTTGCGAAAATTCCACTGTGAAAGTTATCCAGAAGTTGTTCGATTATTAACTGTGATACTGTCTCCGCCACTCTCCTGCTGTACAAATGCTTTTAGCTCTCAAAGCTATAATTTTTCATCAATTTTTATATTGTCAGTTGTTCTGTTAATGATGCGTGTTAGCAAGTAGTCATGAATTTGATGAGAATATGAGAGCAGTGAACAGCAGTGGATGGTATGCTTGAGTCAGTACTTGAAAAGTCTCAAAAATGCTTTTTCATCACTGTAACTGCTTTTATGATTTCATTAAGGAAATTGTTATTATCATCAGTTATTTGAACATTTGTAATAGAAAATACTTTTCCTATGGTTGAACTTGTACTGGCAATGGCTAAAGAAAATTCTAAAATGATGTACATGTTCTTTAACTATATGATTTTACTTTGTACAAACTCGAATATTCAGGGTAATTTTACAACATATTTAATAAAATTCGTATTCCAATCATCAGTTCATTTGCGTACTTTTAACACAATGAAATCTGTCAGAAAGTTTATCTTCTCCTAAAATTTTTGTCAACATCAGCAGTGTATGTGATACAGCACTGAATTTTCTCCCAATTTGGAGGATTCTTAAATAATTCCCAGTGAAGTACCTTTTATGTGTTGGAAGAATCATTTCTAAAATAAATATTCATGCAACTGCTAAATAAAATTGCGCTATTGGAAAAAAGGTTTGGCTTCCATTTAACTGTTGCCAGAGCAATTTGACACCTCACTCAAAAAAGGGCTATCTGGTGGCCCTAATGCTGTTTTTCCAGAATTGTTCAAGTTTGTAGCACATATATTCAGTGATTTTAATTTCAGAATGTCTTTCAAGAGCTTCTATGTAGATCATTATAATACGTACTTGCATCGGTGAGTGTGAAAATATAGAATTTTGCCTCACTATTCTTTTATAAAATTATACCCAATATTTTGCATCACGGTTTGATTTTGTAGAAAATCAGTGTTTCACTTGTACAAAGATTGTTTTCTCAATAGATTTTATGCTTTCAGCTTAATAATGAATTGATAACGGCAACATTTTCCTTTTGGAATCAACAGGCTCTATGCTCGTAACCAACAAGGGAATAATATACATTTTACTGAAATATTACAGTTAAAGATGCTTTCTCAAAAAAGTTTCACTGAATATTTGTAGGTTTCTATATTCTAAGAAAATTTATGATCATTATTCTACCATGTTTATATCTACCCAAACCTTGTCAACAAATCTGTTGGACTTGGCATAATCTGAAGTGTCTAATGCTTAGAAGATGTTTTCTATACATATGATTCATATATATGGTCAGAAGTGGCACAGTTATGCAACTAAGCATTACGATGCTCTCATTGAACAGCTTGTGGCTATTTCAAAAGGCAAATATTATAATAAGAAGTGTGTGCTGAGTTTTTGTATTTCAGAGGGGCATTGCTCAATATGGCAGTGTTCTGAAACCTAGAGCAACTAAGACACTTGAATGCTACATCTAACTGTAATTTATGTGTTTGCCATAGAGCATATTAATACAATTTTTGGAGGCAGATATGTATACTTCACTTCAGTCTTTACTTTTACTAGCTGACATTACTTTTTTGTGCTTAGAAACTTTCCTTGCTTCTAATTAGATTTTAATTTAATGAATGACTTCCAAGGTAGGATTGACTGTCCCTATTGCTCCATTCTCTCTGTCTTTGAAGTATGTGCGTCCTCTCCTCTTCTCTGTGTGCATGATGTGGTTTGACTTCATATATGTGTCCCTTTAGAGTTTTCAAGCGAAGAAGTCTACATGGAATCATCCGGCACTGTCATGTCTTCATCTGCATCAAAGAGCGTGAGATTTGAATCAAGTTCTGTCCAATCTGCCTCTGAGGAGACAGGTGGAGTTTCAAATGTGTTCAAACTGACTCGTTCCACATCAGCTGATGGTCGGCCAGTGTTCACAAAGACCATCGAAGGCAGCAATTTGGAACGTAAGTGGGTTACCTTACACCTTCAGTGGAAGGTTTCTGATCTGCATAAGACTACAGTCCTCTATTTCATATTGTTTGTCTATGGGTGCATCCTTACAATTTTGATGGGAAAGGCATCCACCTTCAGCTTAACTGTATAAGTAATTTACTGGTATCTTGAATTTCTCTGTGTATACTACATTTAAACATCACAACATTAATACATTCATGGTACTGTGCTTAGCATGTAGTTTCATTTGTGAGCAAATCAGAATGTAGGATAAGACCCAGATAATATTTTCTTACTCTAATTTATATAACATTCCCTTCACAGCGGGTCAGAATGCTGTATTTCAGTGTGAACTTACATCTGACACACCAACATCAATGACATGGCTAAAGGACAACAGGCCTATGGAAGACAGATTAGCGGACCGTGTGTTGATTTCATCTCAAAACGATAACACCGCTTTTAGATTGGAGGTGCAGCACTGTCTTGAGTCTGACAGTGGTGTTTACACTGCCAGGGCAACTAACGCTGTTGGTGCTGCCACTTGCACTGCTCAGCTTGTAGTACAAGAATGTGAGTATATAAATATGTCTTCAGGACTTGCAGTTCTAGAAAGATTAGTCTCATGTGTTTTCTGAAACATTGAGGATTATGGTAGACTTGAAAGGATTCTCACAGTGGTGTATACTATACTTCTTTTGGACTTCATCCATCATCTGGTATGTAAAAGACAAAAGACCACAGCGTTTCGCAGACTGGATCTGTCTCCGTCCTCAGGGGGGTTGTGGTCTTTTGTCTTTTACATACCAGACGATGGATGAAGTCTAAAACAAGCTAAAAGAAGTATTGAGGATTATGTATGATCTATAAAACATCTGTTCTTGGGAGATCAGTGCATGTGAAAGATCATGTTAAGCTGGATCATAGTCACCTTCTAACCATAGGAGCCAGGGTGTGAATCCAGGTTAGGTCATGTGTGATTTGTGGTGGACAAAATGGCAGTGGGGCACGTTTCTTCCTGGTGTTTGAGTTTTCCATGCCAGTACTCATTTCACAGTCACTTCTCAATGTGGTGTGATACAGTAGGTCAATAGTAACTGACATACCAAGTAGACTCAATCTCACCTCACTCTATGATATGAAAAGAAAAACAATATTATGAAGGTGCGAACTGGACCTAAGTGTCTGTAGCCACTTATTATCCTGATGTCAACTTGTTTTTGTCCACCACTATTTCACCATATGCAATTGTTCTGTTCTCTCTCTGAAGTACCCTTGTGACAGCACTGTCAGGTTTGTGTCTAGTTTTTTCAGTGGTTGCACACATTTACTACACACAGAAACTACACTCAGACTGTCCATACAGGGCTTTTTCAACTATGTTTTATAGCCCCAGTCATTCTGGAAGTCTTCTGCTAGCCTTAGTCTTTGGCAGTTTCCAGGACCATCCAGAAAGGGGGAAGCTACAGAATTTCCTGAAAGGGAGGCATGCTGGCACCCTAGTCCCCTTGCTCACATGACAATATTTTTGTACAAGTAATTTAAGAGTAATTAAACCAAACAAGTTTGGTTGAACTGGACATTTATTTCTTATGGGTACAACAATAAAAGCATAAACAGTTTTGGTAGAGACACATTTTCAATATAAACTGCTTGGTAAATCAGAAAAGATATGGAATTCATGGAAGTACGTTTTGGTAAGTCGAATTACATATAACTAGCTCAGGATTGTGTCTGATGGTATACTTGTATCTTGACTGTGTCCTTTTAGTGAGATAGTTAAAATGTTTTCATTCCTGTCTTCAAGATTTATGTAAAACAAGTTATTCTTCTCAGATTCAAGATATTTATGAAATATTATTACTAAAATTGTGTAACGAAACACACAGTCCTCTTGATCCAGGCATAAAGATAACTGCGAGAAGTCGGTGTGTTAGAATTAACTAAATGCACATTCTCTGAGAACCCAACTTCATTTATTTTTCACCAAAATGAATATAGAGATATTAATTTAACGTTTTATTAATTAGATATGTTTTAAGGATAAACTAATAATTTTAATTTTAATATTATTTGTTATCTGCTAGTGTCAGAAGAAGAGAAGAAGAGACGAGCAGAAGCAAATGCTCCATTGTTTGTGGTAAAACTAAAAGACACAGAACTGCTGGAGAATACATACCTACGCTTCATGATAAAAGTGAAGGGACAGCCCAACCCTACCCTGAAATTGTGAGTATTAACTTTACTTGTTAATGTCAGTTCTCAAGGGATATGTAAGAATAGGTAAATGGATTATATTAAAATGGATATCAGAGAAAATCACTGTGAGCTGACTCATGTTAAAGTTGAAAAGTGGGATTTTTAAATATGTTAGCAAACCTTCAGGTGCAGTAACAATAAGGGATTTCTAGTTAAGTGGAAACTCATAAATTGTTGCTGGATTCCTACCCGCTAAAGATTGACAAAATATGCATGCATCTGTTTTGAAAATTACAAAAGTGTGCTCTCAAAATGCAAAGAGTGCTATTAAATTACATGTTTTCTTACATAATGCTGCTAAGTAGTTGCTCATGATCTCTCCCTAGTGTTGATATCTAGTAATGTAAAAATGTTCACGTTGGTAATAGCGATCTATGTTCATCTGTTTTTGTTTTGTATTATAATGAAACTTCTTCTCTTCCAATATGGCTGTTAAGTGATATATAAGCATGACACGAAGAAAATCAGCACCTAGAACAATTATTGTGTTTCTGGACATCATCCATTGCCTGTTTTTGTTTAAAACACAACATGATGGAGACTGGATTCTGTCTCTGTCTTCAGGTGGAACATACTCAATTGGGCCAAATTGAAAGACCAAGTCCCTATCTCTGGTGACAGAATCCATTCTTAGAATCATGTGTCTTAAATATTAACAGGCAATAGATAACTTTGCTCCTTTTCCTTGCTGTAATTTGCCTTGTAGTATGTCACATTTTTTATAAGTGTACTTGCTGCAGTAAGTCTATGGTGCTTGTTTTTAGGTTAAGTTTGTGTAAACAGAAGGACCTTTCAACATCTATAGATGTGACACATAGTCAAAAGATTTGGCAGTATCTCCCTTAAAGATTACCTCACAGCAGTGATAGTTCTATATCCTGTATGTCTGTACAGAACATCACACAGTTACACATCCACATTACAAATATATTCTACAGGGCAGACTTCATTTCAGCTTGTACCTTTTCAGTGACACTCAAGAATTCACTTAGGCACATGCCAAAGATTTCTGACTTTCTTGTTGACTGTTATATAGTCTTTAAACATGCTGTGACATGTGTAATGCCCATTTAAATCCTCCCCTTTGGAGCTCATGGCCAAAATTTAGTGGCAGCATTTAATTAACAATGTTCCTTCTTCTAAGAATGTAATTTTTTCCAAAATAATTGACAAAGACATACAATAAGAAGTATATTTAAACAGAATATGATGTAAAAATTTCATTTCTATAATTTGGATCATGTATGAATATGTTATAAAGTAAAATTTCAAAATAGTATGCCTCTCTTATTTTCCTGTCTGTCATGTGAATCTTGTGGTTGCCTCACACCAGGGTACTGTCCACACAGATCTGCTTCAGTTTGATTCCATAAAGCATGCCATAATGCACAGCCCAGTGTCACACTATCATATTGGTAAGGTTTATACTTTATCTTTGATGTAAGTGAAAGAGGCATAATGCTGCAATTGCTTTCCTCTGGGTGGCCAGTGGTTCTTGCTGCTGGCCTTCAGGAGTTTACTTACAAAAAAACACAGGCTCCTGTAGTTCTCAATTATTACAGATTTTATGGAGTTTCCTTGCTCATCACAGAAATTTCCTTCTTATGGTTAAAGTTTTCACACTTACATATATATTTATTTTTTTGTAATAACACTCTTAGCAGCTCGTAATATAAACTGTTGTATGGCAGGGTGAGTAGTGAATAATAATTACACTTTTAGGTTCTAAATCCCCAGTCAATTATCAGACCTGAATGTTCCTAAATTTCATAGTTACAATGATGTACATTGTAACACTTCCTGTATAATTTTGCAACTTGCAGAGTGATTCAGTAGGCTATCATGCAGTTTTATGAGGCTCAGATCTTTGTGTCTTGTTACAGCTTGAGAGTGGGTAAATAAATGTCTCCAGACAATGAAAGGATAACAGATAGTGGCCGATAAGGGCCAAGAAGGGCAGACAATAGCCATTGTGTTACTTGAATCATATACAGTAGCCGTGGAGGACCGGTCCAGGAGTTTATCATGCTGCTTCATCAACTTAAGAAGCTTCTATTTTGTTTCAGCTTTAAGGAAGGCAAGGAAATATCTCCAAACAACGAGAGGATACAGATAGTGACTGAGAAGGCTGATAAGGGATTCTATGAGCTGGTGATAGCCGATGTTCTGCCTGAAGATGCTGGAAAATATTCCTGTGCTGCAACAAACAAGTATGGAGAAGTAAGCTGTGAGGCCACAGTTACTGTTACAAGTAAGTTGATGCTTAACATTATTGTCATCATCGGCACTCAAGTATTACTGGAATTGCCATCTGTCTCCATCCTACTGGTGTAGTATATGATTAGGCATTCCAGAATTGGGCATTGTAGGCTGATAGTATTTCTATTCATTTCTTTGTAACTTCATGTCTATTTAATTCACATGAAGTTAGCATGTTTTAAAGATACAAGTTTTGGTCCTTTCCTGCATAAACAGCAAGGTTTCTTAAGAATTCAAGTACAGGCACCTGTTGTTCATTCTGGCTTAACTCAGTATTGTGACTACCAGCTGATAATACATCATCAGCAAGTTTCCATTTTTGTATTTGATGTTGCATGTTATGTCTGTTGTGTCACATGCATAATTAAACCAAGTTTCTTGCCAGTATCTGTATATGCTGCACAAGGTACAGCACCACAAAAGGGGGGAGGGGGGAGAATATTCTTGATGAATTAACACAAGATTACACTTTTTCTTTGCCTTGTACAAAAGAATAACAAGGGTCTCTTCACATTCTGTTTGTCTGTAGTGCTAATATTATAAGAAAGAACATAATATATGCCTTAACTTCATATATCGATAACGAATTAAATACATTCAACTATAACTATTTGTTTATGTATGTCCGCTTTATGCTTTATAATTGTTTGCATGTATGTTTGTTTTGTTTTTTTGTTTTTGACATGTTTCAATTAATTATTGTAACTTAAAGTTTGATCTTGTGACTCATTCTATATCCTATGGCTTGTATTATGCCTGTATCAGGATCAATTAGAAAGTGAAATAAATGAATGAATGAATGAATGAATGAAAAAAGGTTTAAAATTGTAATCTCTTTGTATTTTAGAATTAAGCAGAATTGAAAATTCAACGATTAATCTTGGTAATCTCAAATAATTTGTGAATTATTACCATTTATAGTGCTGAAAAATTTGAGTCATGAGTGAAATGCAACATTTTAAAGCATAGAAGCTGCACCAGTTCTTATAGATTATTTTGTTGTGCTTAATTTTTATCTCATGACAGCCGTAAATATTGTTACACAGCCCACTGAAATCCACAGGAAGTGTAACTACAATATTGATCCAGAAATAATATTGTTAACATTATCTAATTGCAGAGAAAGTAATTCCTTTACAAACAAGTAGATTGAGGAAGAACTGATAGCCTACTTTCCTTTGATATGACATGGACTCAACAGAAACTAACACCTCCAACAATTATTTGCTGCCGTGGGAATGTCTTTATGGAGTTGTTACCTAGCAGTGACAGAATGCACTTCACTGAGCCTTGCCTAGCAAAGATAAGAGGGATGCACATACAGACGCATGGACTGATGGGAAGGATTTATGAAGTATGCCATTGAGATGAGCTCAGGTGCCATTATATACATTCCAGGTTTCATAAAGATTGGTTCAGACATTCAGACTAATGGGATGGGGGATTCACAGATGCACAGACACACAGAGAGCATGGAGATCACATAAGCCTACTTTAATTTTTTTCAAAAAAGGAAAAATAGGCTAAAAATAACACTAAAAATATGTAGGATTATTTATATGAAACAGTAAAGTGGTGGACTTGTGGTCCTTTAACGTATGGAATAAGATTGTTGAATATCTCCTAGTTGAAACTTGAGACTTCTGGAAGTCCAATTTTCTAACTAACAGTAAGGACAGAAGTTTGATTCTGTTGTCATTAATTTGTGATTTCAGGTGAAAAGGAAATATTTAAAGGATTGGGGTCAACTCTTCTAGAACCTGGAGAAGAAGCACAGTTCCAGTGGCTCCGAGATGGACAACCTTTTGACCCTGAGGAGAGATTCAAAGTCTTATTCAAGGTAGACCCTATCTAACAGAAGAGAAACAGAGTAACAGTGAAAGAAACTCTCCGCTATATATTCATCCATACGATGTTGTACAGGTGATCAACTTATCACCTATTCAGGAAATGCTGCTAATCATTCAACAGATGGAGTGTGATTTTGTGGTCTGCTAGATCATTACCAGCATTTTAAAGGAACACGCTACTTTCATTTTCACTCTGTTTTATGCAGAAAATTGAGGCAGCTGGAATCCTCTTAAACATTTTTGATGATCTACTGGACAGTATCGTCATAGTCACCTCTATGAGAGACCTCAAATTGTCCATGTAACAAACTCAATGAAAAAGAATCATGACTATCAAAGAGAGAATATTTGTTTCTTATGCATTAACGTGCCATAACATACTATGGACATGTGTAATATGCTTTGAGCTGCAAGATTGGCAGCTGTGGTTAGTTGCGCCTTGTTGGAGAAGCAGGGTAATGGCAAAGGAAACTGGGAAGGTCTCCTATTATGCCAACTCATAATTATGGGATATCTTGGGAAAGAGCATTTATGTAAGATTTGAGGCTTTCACGGCGGTGACTATGAAGAAAGCAGTCTTCTGGGATTTGGCACCGTGTATAAGTGGTGTTAACCGACGTTTCGGAGGAACGTATCGCCTCCATCTTCAGGGTAGAAGAAAAAGTATAAGAAATCTGCAAGCGACAAGACCGAGAGAACGGTAAAAGCAGACGTGCCAAATCCCAGAAGACTGCTTTCTTCAAGAGCATTTATGATCTCCATAGTTCAGTAATGGTATGGAAGATACATGCTGCTGTTAGTAATAACTGAAAAAAATATTTGTTGACTTGTACTTCATGAAGTTGCTCTCAATTTAAAGGATGATGAAGACTCCCTTGCGCTAGTTTTCCAGCATGTGAAACCTGAAGACGCTGGTTTATACACATGTGTGGCCTCGACATCCACTGGCAGGATCTCTTGTAGTGCAGAGCTCACCGTGCAAGGTCAGACATTCAAACAATCTACATTTTCACTTTATTATTCCTAATTTCCTCTTGTATATTAACATTGTAATTTCAAGGAGTTTGAACAAAACTGCATATTGAGGAGCTTAGAGACATAGAATGGTATGGTATGGATTGGATTGATCTAGCTAAGGATAGGGACCAATGGAGGGTTCTTGTGAACATGGAAATGAACCTTTGGGTTCCATAATTGTTGGCGGCTTCTTGAGAAGGGCTTAGCTCCATGAAGTTAGTTAATTTCAAGAAGCTGTTTTCCAACAGATCTCCCGATGAAAGGGTTTTTAATTTCATTCCATCATCAGGCCTGTATGTTGTCTGTATTCCCTCTGCATTTTTAGGTGTGTTTACAGCCCTGTTATGCTTCCATTAAATTTGCTCCTTCTGTCCTTTCTGTACTCATAAAATAACTTAAGAACTCAAGACATATTCAAATTTTTATTAAAATCTGGCAAAAATAACACATTTTACTTGAAGAGTCACGTGTGTTTATGTCCATATCTTGAGCAGAACTCAGTAAATATTGATTGGAACAAAAGTGTTCTGAATGGAAGTTGCAGAGAAAAGCGAAACACATAATTTTGCATGAAGTCTTCTGGTTTTTAAGGTCAATACAAAAGAATTATTATGCTATGCATATATTTTCCAACTTATATTCAGCACTCAAAATGATCATCCAAACATCTGGAGACTGATAAATAATGAACACCAGTTTTTCAGATCACATACAGTGATTCTCAATAATTAAACAGAGCTTCCTCCCACTTAAAATTATAAGGCAATATGTATACAAATTATGTGACATGTCTACTGAAAGCCAGCAGAGGAAGCCATTGTTAGGGAACGGCTCTGTAAACATGCCCGTTTCTAGGCAGTGGCTTAGTAGCGATCACATAGTCAGCCCAACACCCAAATGCAACAATAGAAGTCAGCGTTTTCTACGTGGTCCATGCCAGGGCTATATAACAAGGTCGAGTTTGCAAGTCAGTCTGAGTAGGGTTCAAGTTGAGAGAGAGTCTGCAGACAGGCAGTCAGTTGAGAGTTACTGCTAGCTGAGGGTGGGGACAGTTTGGGAATCCAGAGGAATGGGGACACCTGCCATTGGAAGCAGCTATCACGCAACAGCTAGTGGAGACATGACATTAAGGACACGGTCATCAGGGACAAAACAGTGACAGTGTTGTAAGAGGAGTCCATAAATGACTGGCAGTCAAGAAGAGATGACAGAAAAAGCGGACCGAGGACAATGTTGCACAAGGAGCCCCTAAGGAAGAACTTTCAATAAGATACAATAGGCGCAGCAGAAATTCAACAGTGGCATAAGGGATCAAGGCCTGAAACAGGAGCCACATCTGGAAAATGAGGAGACATTTTATGAGGCCCTTGGAATAGTGAATAGTCGATTCTTCCGTGAGGATTCAAAACATGAGTGTTAAGACATTGTGGAGAAGCCGGCCATGGACTATCTGAAAGTAGAGACTACTAGCATCTTAAGAGCAACATGTATAGAACCATCAACCCCTTTCTCTGAACTTTTGCCCACAGCCCTCATAACAGCATAGCCTTAAGGAGGAAGCGATGTGGCATGTAGACCTGTTGCTAGGCAACAACCACAAGATAAATAAACTAAAATAATCCATGGGCTCTGAATCTGGTAGAACGTTAAATTGTGGCCCTGCATTTTTAGTAAATGTGTATGCCCACCCATCAACACGCATAACACTTGTTTCACTCTTGCTCTCACTTTCCTACATTCCATCACTGGATTCTTTACTCGCAGTTTCCTCTACGTTTTCCAGATCCATCTGATCATCAGAGTCAGTATCAAGTTAACAAAGCCATAACTGACTCTTCCTTCTCAACACACATCACATTGTATTTCAGTTTTTTCATGCCAGGAGGTACACGTGTCCGAGAACACAAAGCCATGTTGCTAACACTGATATGCCCTAATATATGAATGGCATTCGTTCCTCAAGTAGTTCAAATTATGACTTCCAGATGGCAGGAGAATGCAGATTAAACATTCGTGATTGCAGTGGTATAGTATACAGGGCAAGTAGTGACATATGACCGACTTATCATCAGAGAAACGCAAAAGAAACTTTGCGATCATATATCGACATTTGTCTGTGGAAGAACATACTCAGTGCCAGTTATATATTGATATATGACAGGAAAGGGTTAATGAAGCTGAAATTTGAATACCAAGACACATGAGGTGAATCCTTCTGTTATACAATTTACATGAGTTATTTATCATGTATTATACAGAAAAATGTGCTGTTCTAATGTATGTTTCACCATCTCAATTCAATAGTGCAACTGAGGACACAGAAGATTTCAGAATGTCTTACCAGAACAGAAATAAAAAGGGAACTGATACATATTACAGTGAGTGATTTGGGACTGTAATCAAAGCGATGCAAGATAAATGATAACAGAGGCACTGCATAGAAAAGCTACCTGCTGATCTCTTTCCCCATCTGTTATTGCTTAAAGCATGTTAAGCTACCTCTTCTATGTACTCACAGTTGGTGCAGCCAGTTCAACCTTTTGAGAAAACTGTATAGTGTGTGAATCATATGTAGATTACATCAATACATACTGAAACATGTAGTTACTATTAGGAAAGAAGTATATAAATTAGTGACTGCAGAAGTTTGATACCATAACAGATGTGTGTAGAATTTTGTTGCTACTTTCTTTTCTACAGCAAATTGTACATTGACTGACCTTCAGTGTTTCCTGTGTGTGTCAGCTGATAAGCCTATCTTCGTCACTTACAGGCTCAGTGAATCAGTTGGCCCGAGAACCTGAGGTTCCCAAGATTAGTACTGAGTCTAAAAGCACAGAAGTGGGTCTTGGAGGATCTGCCATGTTGGAGCTGAAAGTAGAAGGTTACCCAAAACCTGATATCAAATGGTGAGTAATTGCAAGGTAAAAGTAATGGCATTCAGATCACTGAATCTTGCAAGACTTTGTGAGCACAATATCTGTGCTAGTGGGCATTTGAATTCAGTGCTGTATTATGCATAATCTGTGGTATTGTGTAACAGAATATGCATATAAAAGGCTCTTCTGAACAGAGTAATGAGTATTAGGTTCCATAAAAGTCAGGGAATTCATTGACCAGCTGGGCTTCTGTCAGCTTCTCAAGAAGAACTCTGGTATATGGCATAGTGACTAATGAACAGTGAGTCATTGGAGCTCAAGGAAATATGTTTGACTTCTGCTGAAGGCACAGTATATATATATATATATATACAAGTGGCTTTTAGCAATTCATCAACAATTTACAGTCTCATTAAAAGTAGAGTTTCTGCAGCCAGATTTTATGCTTGTTGGCAGGAAAACAGTATGTCGGTAATATTTTATCCATATCTGACTGTGGGGACATTTGATTATATGTGAACATATGCCAGGAGAGGGTTAACTTTGCATTGTATGAACTGAAATGAATACTACAATTTGCAGGACAAAAGATGGAAATCCTGTTGAAGCAGGAGGCAGAGTCCGCTTCTTGTATGAAGATGAGGAGTCTATGTCACTCATCATTAAGGGTGTGACAGCAGATGATGCTGGCAAATACAAAGTTGTGGCTAAGAATGAACTTGGTCAAGATTCTACTGAAATGGATCTATTAGTTAAAGGCAAGTACATTTCAACATATTCTAATTTGTTAAGATAGTAAACTTACTTGGTGCAAAGAAAGCAAGTCATACATTAATATAAAAGTGTTTTTAGCAAATCCATTAAATTAAATATTGTAAGGTTCCAGAATAGCATAATAATCACTTCGACATCACCTATAATATCTGTTACATAACTTGATTTTGTGACATAACATGTCAGCAATAATGGTCTACCTTCATGGCATTGTCACAAGTAGGGGCTATGCATGGTGAAAATAATGGGTTATAGATCAGGTGATTGGATTTATTGACCCTTCAGTTACAATGAATACACTGCTATCACTGATTTACACAATTTACAGTTCACCATTATACAGCCAGTAGGATTCTCAGGCTTCACTAGTCATACCCTGCTAATGGAATTAAAACAGTCTCATTGTGACTACATCTTCTAATCACACACTAAGTCTTCAGAGGCTGACTTCTAATTCTTCTTTAACTATGAACTTCCTGTGACTGTCTTCTACCAACTGGACTGCTGTGTGCCGTTGTATTCCCATTCTCCTGAGCGCACTCACTTAAGCTACAGCAGATCCTCATTATACAGGCTCATATGCGCATATTTTGAGTGTGGCCTAGAGATGGATCTCCTATTGTTGTGTTGACTGTTGGTTGCGTGGTGTTTACCGAGCCATTACCTATCAATGTTTTGAGCAAATCCATCACAATATTATTATAGTGAAACACCCTTTCAAAGTGTTTGGGAAACAATGGCTTTGAACACTAAACTGAGGAAATCCTTATATGGAAGGAAATCACCACCCCTATAGCAAATGCATAGTATTGTGCAATATCTTGAACCATTTTGTATTCTTGCAACATGTTGTCCTAAGTTTAATTTCAGTATTTGTACTCCATCTACAGATGATCTCTTAAACAGGCTGATTTAATGAAGCTTCCCACCAAACCATGTTGCATTGATTATGCTACATGTCCAGTCCATTACCCCAACAGCACTTCAGATGACACACTTAATTTATTTTAATTTCTGCAGCTCCTCCCAAAATTAAGACCGAACTGGAGAATTCATCCTGCATGACAGATCAGAATATGACATTCACTGTTGAGGTGGAGGGAATGCCAGTTCCTGAAGTAAAATGGTAAGTTTTATAATGCCAGCCTGTTCTGTCACTGTATTTATCAGCAACATGGTTTACTGTAGGCTGGATGTGAGGAAAGTGACTGGTTAAATGTGGCATATCAGTGAGTTAAACTGGAAGGCTTTCCTTCATTAATAAATTCAACAAATATATATTTCATAAAACAAGATAATAAATATAACTCATCTTGGAGCAAGATAAACCTGGAGTCAATACAGCAGTTATGCACTGAATAATTAACAGAAAACAGAAAAAGTCAATATTGAGACATAAGTTTAAGAGACCTAATATGATTTGCATTTTGTGCATCCTGTTATGTTATTATATACAATTTATTTTTTAGAGGCTAAAATGTAGCAAAGCTAATTTTAGCCTTGGCCTTTATATTGTTTTGTTGTGACAGACTCTAATAAAGAAATTGTAGACCTAATATGGCCTACATGTCACCTACCATTGTGAGATGAAAAGTCCCAGATTATAGGAAGACAAAGTAATGGACTTAGGTAGGTGATGTATGGATTTTGTTGTCTGCCAGGAGGCAGTGATGCACTGGAAACCAGTTCTAGAAAGAAAGTGAAATAAAATTTCCAATTCCATCCCCCATTTCGAAGTCTTCCCAAGCGCGGGTTTGAGAAACAGGGATGAGAGTAGGAGGAAGGGAAGGGAAGGGGGGGGGCTTGTGTGTAGAATGTGTAGACTGGAAAGATAGAAGGCCAGGTCAGTTCACGAGAACATGTACATTACGCATAATGCAGTCCCCCCCTCCCACCAACATAACCCTGGGTTCCATAGTGGAGAGGCTTGGGACACCAGAGCCCACATGTAGTAGATAATTGTAACCTTGCAGACTTCACATGCTGATTCACGGTCCCCACAATTGTGAGCGGTATGCAGTCCAGGTGACTACCCATGAACAGTTCATCACTACACTGCCGAGCCACAACATGTAAGATGGGAATGTAACTGTGCAATATGTTATCACATTCAGACAGTTTTAAAAGATATTATTAGGATACTGATATAAGCATTGATTTTTATCGTAAAATCTTTCTTTCAAGTTGAAGTTTTGTTAGTAAACACTTATTTTACTTTGTATGAAATATACAGTAAGAGGCAGGATAGGCTCCCCTCTCCCCGTTCCTGCCTCTAAACAGGTCCATTTATGATAGGTTTCATGAATCACCATGGAGCAAATAAATACTATATTCTTACCTTTCAGGCTGAAGGAAGGCCAGCAGATTTCCCAGTCTGACCGCATCAAGATTGTGAAAGAGAAAGAGACACACAGTCTCACTATTGAGAAGGCTCGTTTGGAAGACACTGGCTCATATTCAGTAAGTATCAGTCTTCATGACCTCGGGTCAACTCAGCCTCTAACAGAAATGAGTACCAGGAATTAATTAAATAATTTTCCTGGGGAGTAAAGCGCGGCTGGCGTGTAAGGCTGACAACCTTATCGTCATCTTTGAGCCAACTGTCTAGATAATGTGGGACCCTCAACATCTCACAACCCTATGGGCCTCCACGGCCTGGTACTTACTTTTACTTACTTTATCACGCTTCATACTTCTTTCATTTACTTCCTTGCTGCTGTCATATGATGATAAATGCAAATCGTGTCATGAATATTCTGAAAGTTTAAAACCAATTAAAACATTATATATATAAACAATATACATGGGGGCACACAGTAGCATAGTTGTTTGACACAGTGTGCTGCAAGGAAGAAGATCATGCATTTGATTCCCGATGAGGTCATTGGAGTTTTCAGTTGACCTAATCCTTCCAACTGCACTATGGTCATGGGGTCGACTCAGCCTCTGACAGAAATGAGTACCAGGAATCTTCCTTGGGGGGGGAAGGGTGGCTGGAGTATAAGGCTGACGTCACTGCCATCTATGAGCCTATTGTCTAGAAAATGTCTTGTCTCACAACCATATGGCCTGTTACAGGGATAGCTTTACCTTTACCTTTTATATTCTCTGGGAAGCTTTGTTTCTGTTTGTTAACCCTACATGAACCTGATATTTTTCATTATAATCAACATCATCAGGTTGAGTGACATGTTCCACTCACATTAAAACTCTGTTTGGTGTGTTCACATTTTATTGTTTTTGCAATTTTCCATCTTGTTTTATGCCATAAAACACTTGTAAGGATAAAAGGTCCTTCAGTCCTTTTAACTTCCTTTCTCTGTTTATTTCTGTATTCTGAAATTTTGATTGTAATATTTCATTTCTATTATTCTTATCCAATATCTTCACACTGACTTTGATCCTTTGGTCTCAGAACATAGCTGCTGCTACTGGACTCAAAAGTCACGTCACAGAAGCCTTAGTCTTTCTCCTCCTGTTTTCTGTTTCTTAGATTTGAAATAGAAAATTATGGAGCATCATTTCATTGTAACTGGAACATTTCAGATTGTGGCTGTGAACGAGATCAGTCAGACTTCATCCTTTTGGCAGTTTGTAGTTCATTCCCCACCAGTCATCCTGAAGAATTTGAACAAGAAAGTTGAGGCAAAGGAAGACGATACACTCTGTTTTGATATCAAAGTTCAAGGGGATCCAAAGCCAGAGGTTAAATGGTGAGTGGAAGAAGAGAGCCAGTTTGCAGAATGATGCATCAAACTCTGTGATTACTCAGTTATCCTTTTAACTTTGAAACAAAGTTTATATCAAAGCATTATTTTTTGTTTGTTTTATTCTTTTCCTGTATAATGTCTTGAAACAAAACATTGCATTAAAGCACTGTGTATCTCAGCAGAATAGTTGCATATATGCCACTGGAAAAGTTAAATGTAATGTTGAATTTCCTGAAAATGTAGATGAAAGTGTTGAAAGAATGATGATGTTTGTAGTGTAATTGACATACTTGTATTTGTGACAAAGTATGCAAGACCTACACTTATTTGAATTCTATAATTTACCTGAATTAAAGCATCAAACCAACACTTTTTATTAATCAATTTTATTATGTAAAAAGAGAAGACATGGTGAAATGTTATACTATATGTATATTTCTGAGGACTGACTGGAGGAAGTGGATGTATTATACAGATGTCCCAGTTCATAACTTATGGTGTGAGAAAAGCAGATCCTCATGAAATAAAAGAACATTGAAATACTGCATGTTTATTTAACCTGTCTATACAGTAGTTCTGTACAGTGAAATATGTTGTTGTTGTTGTTGTTACGTTTCATGGAACTATATGTTGCATTGAAGAATATAATATAATCCATTATAGGCTCTTAGAGGAATTCATAATTTAGAATTTCAGAAGGTACAAGCACAGAAAACCTTTTTAACTATGAAACATTCAACTGTTAGCGTTTGTTTATAGTACATGTAGCATTTCACTTGTAGGACAAAAGATGGAGAAGATCTAACAGCAGATGGAAAACACATCACAATATCTGAGGATGGTCAGTTACACTCTCTGATAATCAAAAATGCGAGCCGTGATGATTCAGGAACAATTGCAGCTCAGGTAATGCTCTTAAGAACTGACCCCCTTCATGAATTTGAAATATTCTTCTTAGTATTAATATTAATAAGTGGAACTTGGGTTTTATATAATATGGTTGGATCTGAGAGTGTAATGTTTGCATGCTATTTCTGAATTCTGTGTTTTAAAGTTCAAACAGATCTGTTTTCAGAGCTAATTACACTGAATACAACTGTAATGCCTAGCATTTGTGGAAAGCTGTAGGTTTTGTGGAGTGAACGTTTGCTACTTGGAGGCTTTGTTCTGCTTCTGTAGCACTCACTTCCCTACATGGCCGCCCATACCTTCATTCTGGAGAAAAATGTTAACATCCACATCCATGAGCATATCTATGCACCATCCTGCCATGGTTTCCACAAATATACTTTTACACAAAATGTGGAAAATTGCAGTGGTTCAGCTGCCATGTGCTAGTGGAATAATGGTGCAATATGATTTTGTAAATAGGAGCTGTAGATGAAACCTCAAGACCAGTGAAGGTGCTTTGGCAATGAATGTTGTGGCATGTAGACCCGTTGCTGGGCAGAGACCTCAAAAAGGACAACCAGTACAGCTGTTGTTATGCAATAGGAGGATAAGCAAACATCCATTTCTATACAACAGTCGAGGTATTGTTGGACCATACCAATGAAAACAGCTTTTCTGTGTGGTCCATTCTGAGATTTTATAAACAGGGAAGTTAGAAACGAAGAGTTAGTTGTAAGTAGAGAGTTGTGAGGAGTTCAGTTGAGTGAAGTGACATGAAGCAGCTGGTTGGTGAGAGAGAGTTCAGTTGAAAGTCAGCATGTGAGGTGAATACTCTGAGGTTGGAGTGAAATGGCTGCCAGCCTGGGACCCAGTTAGTTGAGCTGTCAGTTGACAAGAGTTCTGCATGGGCCACTGTGACAAGAGGACCTGAGAGTGGAAAGCTGAATAATCTCCCTTGATAGAAGCCATTGCCACAAAATGGCTAGTGGAGACTGTAACAGACTGAGGACGCTAGTTTGCGTGTTTCAGTGATCTGTAAGTGTAGTTCTAAGTGGTGTATTCAAGTAGTCAATAAATCCATTCACCAATCCATACTATGTCTATAGTCCCTCTCTCTCTCTCTCTCTCTCTCTCACTCTCACATGCAGACACACACACACACACACACATATGACAATATCAGTAACAGTAGCAGTTACTTTTTGAATTGTGGTTTCCTTGGGCATGGTACCTGAAGGGAGGGGCACAGATGATTTAAGCAAAAATATGTGTATTGTCAATATACAGTTCTCTGGCAAAGGCATAGTTTCTCCTCCCCTTTATTAATGGCCACTTTAAGGTCACATAATTGTCTCCTAATGAAACTTGCATCTAGTAACTTTTTTCTGACCTTAATTGCTGCGTGGTAGTCCAACAAATACCGTATTTACTGGATGCCATAAATTGTTAATTTATGTGGAATGTCTGATGACCATTTATTTAAAATTGGTGACATATGCTCTTTGCATGCCAGAGTCATATCATATGATTTACTTAACATTTGTTTTTAGACTTATTGTATCATACATTAAAAAACAAAACTTTAAAACACATACTTTCATGTATGCATACATGTCAATATTAACTATAATATTGTAACATGTACCATTAATAATTTCCTGTATTATCACCACAAATGATTGTTGAACATCCACAACTAAGTGGCATCTGACAGTTGAGTTGTATTTAACAACTCATGTGGCCATAGAGTATCACTGTGAGGATATTTGTGTTCCCATTATCATTTCTGTTGAGCAGTGACAAAGACATTGGATATGCAAATTCATGTGTGGTGTACGTAACATCATCATGAAATGTACTTCAAAGGCCATGCTTCTGCTGCAAAAATATGCAACTGGAAAACTGTGTGGAAGTTTAATGGAAATAGTAATGAAGATTTAATGAATATTGATTTGAAAATATTCTACAGTTTGAGATATACTGCAGTTGTGCAATGTCTGTCATCCCAGAAATTGTTGGCTGTTGATTTTTACATATTTTTACCAATTTATGATTATAACACATTTTTGTGAGGATGAAGAGGTGCAGTGTGGCTAGTGCACGTCTCTCTTGCCCCAAACTTCAAAATCCTATCCCTCTTTCCCCTTCTTGATCCAACCAGAAAAGCAGAGAATTGCCCATTCACAGTCTCACACAAACATTCTCGAAGTTATGACCAACAGAAAAGGGTGTGATTGCAGAAATTGACTGCCTTGGGCTCACTGTGAGCTTAGAAACTGAATTGAGTGCGAGTGTATAATGTGAAGGCAGAAGATCTTAAGTAGCTCTGGACAGTGAGATCATAACTGTTCAGCAAGTTGAAAATTACAGTGCATATTACAGTGTATGTTACAATAGTACTACAGTATGTAGTGTAATGTATGTAATATGTTATATTAACTTATATGTTGCCATAGTATGTGTCTTGGTGCACTGTGAGAAGTTTCAGCACCTCTTACGGGTGCCATATTTTTGATGTGATATGGACGATATGATGTGAGCTCTAATCGAAACACTACATAATTTTTCAGTAGTGACAGATAGATTGATACGAATACTCACAGTACTGTATGTTTATATAAAAACTGGCAGAGTATGTACAGTACATTTCTAGTGTAGATACCAAAAGGACAAAAAAGTAAAAGAGTGATTAGCAAGCATTCCTGAAATATGATTGACAGTTCTCAGAACATCTTTCAATTCCTGATTGATTTATATGCAGGTTTGGAATGACCATGGCTGGCTCAAAGACACCAGTGAGGTCAATGTGCGTTGTGCACCAGAGTTCAAAAGAAATCTTAAGGACTTCACAGCTAATGAGGGCGACACCAACGTTGAATTCAACATAAATGTAGAGGCTTATCCTAAGCCTGCAGTCAAATGGTACGTTTGCACACATAGTCCAAATTTATTTAGTCAGGTTGTTAGAAGAATCTTTTTGAATTGCAAGAATATATATTAATTTCTTCAATGTTCGTTTTTCATTCAGTCTTAATTTCAGTTTCTATAGGTAACCATAGAAATTAAAGCCATGATACAGAATAGATATCCATGTGGGATTTATAGCAATGGGATAGAGTTTTCTCTTAGTATTTTGGTTATCTGGTTTAACTGCCACTCATATAAGCCTTTCTAGTCATATGCAGTTGGGCTCATCATGTTATTCATCAGTTGGGCAGACAATCAGCTTGGTTCAGTTCTACTGAAGAACAGTTTTAATTTATGTCTTTAAATGATGAACCAAAAAGAAAAAAGAAATTGATGATGCATAGTTACAACAGAGATACAGGTCAATGCTATAAATTGTACTAAATTCTAAGTTACTGTTGCATGGTTACATGAAGGCATACTCGTAATAGCTAATCCCATGGTACAGTGGTTTCTAATGTAACCACCCAATCAAGCGTACCTCCATGAAGGGTCAAAGATTGAATCCTAGTGAAGATACTGACAGGTTTCTCTCTTGTCAGTCATGTAAAAAGGAAAGCAAATATAGCCAATATTGAATAGTTCTACTCACAGCAGGTTTATTGCAGGAGCAGGAGACTGCAACATGCATGTGCTTACTCAGTGTCCCCTCCTTGCCACTAAGAGTGGGGTTTATTTGTAACAACTATAGGTCATCCTAAAAGATGGGGTAAAAGCAGCTCCAAGCCATCAAAGATAAAAAGAGGATATAGGATGAACAATTCCTGTTAAAAACCTCTCAGAAAATAAAAGATGATGAGGGATATGGAACATAGATATTTTTCTTTTATAGAAAAACACACACAACTTCAAGTAAGTAAGCATTTTCTCTTTGTGGAACAAAGGTGGAACAACCAGTGAATGAGAAGCCAACCCTACCCGTTAAATGTACAAAAAGAACCAATCAGATCATAGCTGGACATACCCAAGTAGATTTTATTTGTTAATTTAATTGATTTAAGGCAGAGTTCTTGAGTTCATGAGCGACCAAAAACAGTTACACCAGGAACTCTGAGGCAGTCAGATTTGACATGGCACACTAGACACTAGGCGGTCAAATTCAATTCTCGACACTTGTATTTTTGATAGTAGTTTTAGAGACTCTTCTTTCAACTGGAATCTAGAACATATAACGATTGGAAGCTTTCTGTTAAATTGTCTTTTTTCAGCAATAATCAAGAAATCAGTGTTCAACAAACATATTTGATTGTATCCATGACAACAGTAGTGAAATATAAATAATAAAGACACATTCAAGAATGTAAAGTGACCAGAAAGTAATTTGATAATGAGTACATTATGTTTATGTTTGTTGTAATGATATCCTTGTCTGTAACCTTATTTACCAAAGTGAAAGAAATCTTCTGGTACCAATGAGCCCATCCCTCTTAATATAAAATTAGTTCATCTCCCGTTTCCAATGGGCACGCAAATATATGACCCTGTAATACAGATCTCATGTCCTGCAAGGATTAGCCAGATACTAAGAGTTATCCCACCATTCCATTAGGGATCCATTATTAATTATGAAATGCTAGCCATTGACACTTTACCACTCAAGTGGTAAAGTATATCCAGTACTCGTTCGACACATTGCATATCAAGGAGATGCTGACTTTGGTACTCAAGTCAAATAGGCTGAGTGTACTACTTGTAAGCTTTTCAAGAAATCAGTGCTATTCTGGAAGTTCAACACTAATCAGAAATGCCTTCCAGTTGTCCTGTCCTGAAACAGTTCAATTCAGCTCATGTTTTCACACTAGTTTTCTTTGATATTCATTTTAATATTTTAACATTTATTCTGATTTGTTTGAAGTCATTATTGTCTCACTATCAGCGTCGACTTAACGATGTTCATGTCAGCTCCATGCCCATTTGTTATTTCATTGTAATACTACTGCAGTGCCCCTTATTCCGTCTTCTCTCTGCCTGCAGTGAGTCTCAATAAGCATTGTTTTATGTCTGCCTCTCTCTGCACTGCATAATAATGAATGTCTTGGCAGCTGTTCCCCAGGGTTCTTCATGTAGACAGTCTTTGGATACTCTATATTTGGAGGAGTAGCAAAGAGCAGGTCACGGGGCAGACATAGCTCCCTCCAGAATTCCGTGATGGCAGGCATCATGCCTGTGGTCACATGAGTTGATGCTCCATGGGCCAGCAGCAAAAAGGGCAGCCTTAAAAGCTACCATGACAGTATTATCCTCCCATCTACTTGTAGATCTCTCAAATGATCTCTTTCCTTGTGACTTCACAACCACTATGTGTGTTGCAAACGTGAGATATATTATGAAGTATTATTACAATAAACACATAACAGTGCAATGTCGATTATCTGAATGCTGCTTATCCAAATCGTAAATTAACTGGATAACTGCAACCAAGGAATATTGACTCTGTCTCCACTTACTGAGTTAGCACATGTGGACGTTGTTTCAGTCCATTGCAGTCTGTTTCAAGCTGTCATCATCACATGTCAGTGTTCAGTGTTATGCTCTGTTTAATTTTCAAACCCATCCTATTATTTATAGAGGCTAATAAATTTAAAATGTCAAGTAGAACAAAACGCTTTTTGTTTCTGACAATGCTGGACAAAGTAGAAATAATTAATCTGTTGAAACAATATCAGTCAGGGAAGAAAATCCCAGAAGGTATGACTACAATTTCTGGCATTAAAAAGAATAGCTAGTCAATTCAACTGTTTGCTTCTGTACAAGAACATGAAGGCAGTAGCTCTATCAGAAAAAAAAAAAAAAAATTATAATAGTGCACTGTGCTACAAGCTGGAAGGTCGCAGGTTCTGTTCCCTATGAGATCATTGGATTTTTCAGTTGGCTTAATCCTTCCAACACCCTGTGGCTCTGATGTCGACCCAGCCTCCAACAGAAATAAGTACCATAAATCTTCCTGGAGGATAAAGTGTGGCCGGCACATAAAGCTGACAGCCTCACTGCCATCTGTAGGTGATTGTCTAGAAAATGTGGGAGCCTCAGTGTCTCACAACCCTATGGGCCTCCACAGCCTGTTGCAGGGATAGTTTACCTTTTTTTTACAGTATGCATTATAATGGTGTTGTAATAGTGTATTTACACATATAAGAATTTAATCTAATTATCCAAATTTTTGATTATCCAGACCACATTTTTCACTAATTAATTCAGATATTTGGTGTTCTACTCTGTTAGATATAATGTGAGGTGTAATGCTTTGTGCAGGTTTCTGAATGACATAGAAATTACAGAGAAGAAGACTGAATTTACTCGTGAGGAAGACGAGAACAACTACAAACTCATCATCAAGAAAGTCACCACAGATTTGGCTGGAAAGTATGAATGCAAAGTCATAAATGACTTAGGGACCATTGACACAGCCTGTAATTTCACAGTACAGTGTAAGTATATCATAACATAACAAGGGGAATCTTCTCTTTAGTGCATTCTCATTCTCATTATCTGATGTTTTCTCTTAACTGGTAGCATCTTCTGTCTTTCTTTGAAGTACCGACGTAAAACGAAAGTGCCACATTTGTACTGAACAGTAAAGTTTACTCTTTCCTTTCACTTCAGTAGCTACTCAAGACAGAGTGAAATAGATTGAAGCGTCAACTGGTGCACAACAGCAGTAAATAATAATCAGAAATAAAATAGTGTATGAAAACATGAGTCCAGACTTCACAAAATGGACAGTGAGAGTGGAGAAGTCATATTTTGTGCATTGGTTTTACTGCTATTCTTGAAATAAGAGTTAGGATATTGGAACCATATTTAGCACTGTGGTTAAACTTGGTGTGGACGAGAAATATCATGATAAATTTGTACATTTTTGAAACTTTCCCTGAAGTCTAGCCTTTTCTTTCAGACAAGCCTCACTTCCCAAAAGGTCTCACAAATATAGAAGTGGACGAGGGCCAGGAACTCACACTGTCCATCCAGTGTTCTGCTGTTCCTGAACCAACAATTAAATGGTAAGTGAAATCTAGTGAAGAGGGGAAGCATATATGTGCCCTAGATTTGTTAATTAGATATAATTTTCCCTTCTGAAGGTAACAGCTACAAATGTGGAGGGCAGCTGACAGAGTGTTGGTCCTTCATTCTAGGACTTGGAGGTGAGATTAACCATGAAATATCATGTATTCAGAGACTTCCAAATTTGTCCTAGGTTACATAATATTACCGGTTTTCATACAGGACAGGTAAATTACAGGTTAATTATGCTGGGTATAAGAAGTCTGCTAGAAGCTGGGTTGTCTGAATCTTAAAAACTACTATTTTCAACATAAATAGGGTAAGAATTTTTCTTTTTACAGCATGCGTCTTGGTATATGAGATTGAAAACTGCCAAGCAAGTTAGATTGTAAACGACAGGATGTCTTACTTCATCCATGTGTATCATTGATGTATGTGTAACGGCATTATTGTACATATGCATGTTACAGGAAGTTAATAAAACTAAAGATTTTTTGATTTTATGAAAAACTAAAATATGAATTTGGTCAGTGTTTTATACATCATATGAAAATTGTGTTAGAAGATACTGATGATGAAGTCAAATGGAAGAAAATTTTCAATGTACCTAATAAGAAAGAATTTACAGGAAATTTGTGTGAGATCAGTAAACTTTGCCACATCCAGAAAATGTTATTGTCATGAGCCTCAGAGTTTCATACAGGAACAATGAGATTCATGATTAGTGGACACAAAATTGAATTTAATATATTCTAATTTATAACTTTTTCTGAGTGTGTATTTGTATGTACTGGCAGTCCTTAAAGGAATAAAATTTCAGTTGAGAGATTTACTTTGACATTATCCATGGCAGGACCTCACATAGTTAGCTGCTAATTGAGATTAATTCTCATAGTCATCAAAACTTCATGTTAATTTGGTAATACAGACTTGAACATAGGAACTGATTTATTGAAGTGGTATTGAACAGAGTGTTTCCCATACTGCATTTATCTTCTGGGTTGAAGTTAGTCACTATGATTTGCAATCTGCATTTTGTGCAACTTGTTCTTACAGAGCAGTTGTGATTTAACTAAGACCATATTTTTCTGTGAATAAAAATAGGGGTAAAGTTCTTTACATCTTTTCTCCTCCTGTTTGTGGTGTTGTCTTAAGACAGAATGAAACACTGAAATTTGGTAATGTAAATATTAATCTTCATACTTATGCAGTCCGCATTGTGTTCTAACACTTCCAATTATGTGCAGGTTTAAAGATGGACAGGAGGTAACAGCAGATGCTCACATCAAAATAAGCCGAGACTCACAGTCACTGGAGAACTACTATCTGACGGTTACTCTTGTAAAGGGTGCAGATGCGGGTGATTATGAGGCTAAGGCAGAGAACTCTATGGGTACAGCGACAACCAAGAACACAGTCAAAGTTAACAGTGAGTACCCTTAGAGATTCTTCCTCTTACAGTTCTCAGTGGTCATTTTCTATTGGCATATTGCATTCCAGATATATGTGTACATTTTGTGCAGTATTTTGAGATTATATGATCAGTTCTCCTTTATCTAATGACTAAAGAAGGGCCAGAAAATGTATCTTGCTTTGGTATATATTATGCATTGTACTCATATTCAGACAGTGTGAAAAGGGAAGTAAAATGTATTAATCTCTGTGGAATACAAATAATACAAATTTCAGATTACTCGCTCTTTTTCTAGAGTAGTATGTGATAGTATTTCTTAAGTTGTAATCTCTTTAAAGACAGACAGTAACTCATTTTGTGCACTAATGAAACAGTTTGGGATAATATGACTAAGGATTAGAAATCTGTACTAAATTTAGGTACTTCTGCTTTTGAGAAATCTCTTATTTGAATTTTGAATGACAGACCACAATATTGAAGGTTTTATGGTTTTCTTCATTGTCCAGAGGGAACTGCCTCAAGACTATTTCCATACATCTTCCTGCCACCTTCCATAATCACCCTGTCATTTATTATTAAAAACTGAAGTTATACCCACATATGGACAATGGAATGTGACCACAAAAATGCTTACATATATATAACTCATAAAATTTTACCAAGAACAGAAAAATGTTTTGTTCATAATTTATGCAGATAAGAGAGCCACATATCGGCTATATTAATGTTCCTGAATTTAAAAATTGCAAGTCTTCTTGACTGAAATGTGTGAATGATGGCAAACTTGTATTTTCTGAACATGGCTATAGTTAAATGGATTCTATACTGAAAATTTTTCTCTTCAAATTAAACCAACCCTCACAATTAGCATGCTGTTATAATTGTATCTTCTTCTTCCTTCAATGTTTCCACTTTTTTGTTGTTCTTAGAACCAACTCTGTCCATCTCTCTCTGTCTTCCTACAGTTTCTCCTCCTCAGTTTTCTCCCATATTCTTTCTTTCTTCTATGTGACATGTTTCCTAATTTGTTGTGCCTCGCTTGATCTCATTCATCTTTTTGGGTATCACTAGTTAGCTTTGTGTTCAAAACCTACTTTTGGATTCTTTATTGTGTGTTCTTAATGCTGCCCATGCCATCTCATTCTGAAATTTCAGAACTTTTATTTTCTCTTCCTGGCTTTTAAAAAATTTAACAAATCTATTACTCAGCACTCAGCACCATAGAACTGAAGACTGAGAGCAGAAATGAGATATTAGAAAACAAATCTCTTAACTGTTAATATGGACATGAAATGAGCTTTAAAGAAACGGATTGTGTTGTGATGCCTAAATGTCAGAATCTTAAAGTCAGAAAAATGTCAGAGTCATCCATTACTGCCAGGTAACATCAAGCACCAACACCCGATAATCATGTGCACACATAACAACCAAATCCCGGCAACCACACATGCACATAATGGTCAAATAACTGGGGGCAGTGTTTTTCATTGGTTTGTGACAAAGCAATGCACACAGAGCCTGCAGGCTTATGGAGGAGTCCTTGTAAACTGTGAAATTATTTGTAAGTCAGACAATTCAGTGTCCATTAAACACAGTTCCCAATCCAAACTGCAGGTAAAATTGCTATTACATTACATGGAGTGGCTGTAGAATAACTGGACTGATGCTCTAAAATCTGTTATTCAACTAATCACAGAATGGAAATGTTATCACCTTCAAAATGGTCCCCTCCCCAACCCCTACACAGCTCCATGTGAATTTTCCACTGTTGGAAGCAATGGTGCAGGTCCTTTTCTGATAGCTTCTTCATTACCTTCATCATCTTTGCCTTCACTGCATCTACAAACTCGAAACAGGTTCCTTTTAATGCAAACTTCATCTTTGGAAATAAAAAAAAGTCACGCGAGCCTAGGTCAGGTGAGTAGGCTGGATGTTCCAACACGGGGAGCTTGTGCTTCGCCAGAAACATCTTGAGAGAGAGTGTGTTGTGCACTGGCACGCTGTCATGGTGAAGAGTCCATGAGCCCTTCTTCCACATTTCAGGTCTCTTTCTTCTCACCCGTTCATGAAGGATTGTCAAAACCTCCTTACAGTAGACCTGATTAATGGTCTGTCCTTCAGGCACCCAACCAATGTGAACAATCCCTCGGATATCGAAAAAAAGATCTTCATTGCTTTGAAATTTGATTTGCTCTTCTGTGCTTTTTTTTCTTCTTCTTCTTTTCCCTTGGTGACCTGGGACTTTTCCAGTGCATGGATTTCCACTTATTTTCCGGGTCATACTGAAAAAACATGATTCATCACAAGTTATTACATTTCCTAAAGAGTTTGGATAATTTTCATTGTTTTGAAGGATGTCAACACAAATGTTCATTAGAGTTTCTTTCTGCACAAGAGTGAGGATTCTTGGCACCATCTTCAAGCTCACTTGTTCATGTAAAATCTGTCGAACACTTTCTTTATCAATGTTAGCTAATTCATCAAATGCTCAATTGCTCATGCAACGATTTTTTCGAACAATTTCACTGACTTTTTTAATGTTAGCATCGGTTTTTAACATGTGAGGCTGACTGGGATGTGGATCTTCTTTGATCTCTCCCCTTCCCTCTTTAAATCTTTTGAACTACTCAAAAACTTGAGTATAAGATACACATTCATCACCATAAACTTCCATCAACAAACTGTGTTTCTGTGGTGGATTTTCCAAGTTTTGTGAGGAATTTCACATTGACATGTTGCTCTGTTGCGTCTCAATTTTGAGATTGGAAATTGTAAGGCATTACCTAACTGTTGAGACTTGAGAAAAGTGTTTTGCAGCCATTACATTAGTATGTCAACACCTGGACAGGCAACTAGGTTAAGAATGTAGATGATCAGCATTTATGCGTAATCACATAAGTAAGAAGCTCTGCTAATGGGGCCACTGGAGATGGTAATATTATTATTTACGCAGCGATGAGACACCATGGGCCCACCCACAACCACCGAGAATAGCCAATTAGAATATAACTTTGGGAATTGAGAACAGAAAGAGGAGTTAACCTCCCTCTTTCGTTAACAGCCGATTCAGCAAGTTAATAATATATATTGCCGAATTTAGGAGACTTAGGGAGCTGATCTAGGACATAATATTCAGTTGTCAGCTGGAGGCCCTATTCGATATGTGTGCCATGAGATGGTGGATGACGACAGTTATCTACATTTGTATTACAAGTAAGTCTCTTTGCTCATATACGCCATGCTGTTAAACATTAGTGTTGATAAAAGTGTTGTTGTGTGATCTTAAGTGCAGTCTCCAGTGTACCCCAGCGAGAACCAGGGTAGAATAGGATAGAAATGGAGTAGAGAGTGACAGGCAATGAAGGGAAGCAACAGTCTCACGGTACTCCCCACCCCCAGAGGGAAATTAGAAAGAAAGTAGCGAGAAGGTGTTATGTAAACAGGCCAAAGGCGGCCCTTTAATGTAAATATCAGTGTAAATAGACTAGTGTACATAGGACAGGATGTACGCAGGGAGTTTTGATTCACCCCTTCATAACCATCCCGTCCACGACCGATCCCGAGCGACCAGAACCAAGACAGCCGATGGCAGCCGAGTGCAGCGAAGATTTTAGCTAACTGGGCAGCGACAGACTAAAGTAATCATAATTTCTCACCCCCTCCCCCCCGAGGTGTAACATGCTCTGCTTTAACACTTAGCATAATTCTGACAGATCTCAGATACACAGTCCGCTTCAAACAAAGGCTGCTACCACACTGCTGGACATATGGCCTTGTAAGTCGTATGGTTGATGGAGAGGAGAGGACAGGCTAATATGCCATCCTGCTCGCTGTTACCAAGGCCACATGGAGGGCCGTGCCATAGCTCAAGCGGTTAGTTGCTGGCTTCCCACCGTGGTGGCCCGGGTTCGATCCTGGATCTGGTCAAGTGGGATTTGTGGTGGACAGAGTGGAGCTGGGGCAGGTTTTCTCCGAGTACTTCCGTTTCCCCTGCCAATCTTCATTCCACCAATTGCTCCACAATCACCCTCACTTATCATCTGGGGCTGGTACAATAGGCCAGAAGTGGCCCCAGTACAAGGGACTTAGTCCGACCCCACTAGCAATAAAAGAATAAGACCACATGGAGTTGGCCGAAAATCAGTCCAATTATTTTATAGCTGCTCCATGTACACTATATTCTTTATCTTTGGCCTTTTCCATTCCCAATGTGTATCACTAAGTAATGATTAAAATTTTCCTGCATTCTCAATTTTTCTGTAGTTTCTTCTTCTGCTCTTACATTTGTCACTAATTTACTTCCTAAGTATTAAAATGTGTTCCTTTTCTTTATTTCATTGTTTACTTTCATAATCATAAATTATAATTTATGATTATAAACTTTCGATTTTATATCAATTTGGATAATTATCCAAATTGATATAAAATCGAAAGTTTATGTTGTTCTTGTTAAAATTTACTGGATATGTTTTCATTGATTTTAAATTATAATGTAATGTTACTAATACATTCCTAATGCACTTATTATCATTCATATTATCTATCCTGTAAAGTTGCCAGTTATCAAGAGTTTGAGTCAAGTTAACAAATCAAGAGAATTTTTCTTAATTTCAATGAGTTCTATGTTTATATGCATCATAGTGAAGATGTTTTCAATTTAAAGTGCAAAATAAATTATTTACTTACAATGTTTTGATTTTCTATGTTAGAAAATTTTTTAGAGTTTTAAAATTTTGTAATTGATTTGTTTAATATTCTTCATTATTATGATGATTTATATCTGAAGTCTTGCAAGGCTAAGGTATTTAAACTTACTTCATATGGTACAGAGGTTAGAGTGATGTCTTGTCTTACATTTGGGAACTTATATAGTTACATATTTAGATCCTGAGAATTGACAACTCAGAGTGCAGAAATTGGCAGATATTGCAACTTTATGGTGTTTTCTCCAGGCTGAATGTAAAACCATTTCCCGGGCAGTTTATACAATATTTCTTTGTTTATATGTGCTATCATATCACTATGGAGTTTGTGCATAAACTACTATAGACTGTGGGATTTATTATCAGTCATGATGGAAAATGTGATAGGGTAACAAAATGCAGGATTTCTAATAAGAGACATAAGTGCTATGCAGTTTCCAGTGTTGTTACATCAAAATATCTTGTGCATGAAGTTTAAAAATATTTTGTCAGGATGACTAAATTAATTTCCACCAGAATCTTGAACTCAACTTTTCTGTATTGAATTACTTTCTGAAAGAGACATTTATACCTGTAACCTCATGAGAACTTCTGGGTCAATTTAAAATTATGATTAAACTCATTATATTGTCATGACCCAAGTTCATTTACCACTACCAGGATGGAGCTTGATAAAATCATTAACCAGAGATAGTGGTTGGCAGGAAATTTAACTAAAACTAAACAGTATTCTTCATAAAATGGCGCTTATTGTATTATAAACGTGAACCTGGAAACAGGTTACAACGATGGCAAGTCAACTACATTATCATGGAATATGTCCTCTCTCTTCTGCATCTTTGTAGGCACATGGTTTTGACTAAGTTCTGCTAGGCCTCTGATATATGTAGACCACAGTACATAAAGTTGCAATATTGGGTGAAATATTTAATAATATATTGTTATTTTACATGTTTTAAGCGCTGTATGTTTTTACCCAAGTATTATGCTTAGCTCCTCTTAGTTGGCAGTCATACTGCAGTTCTTTAAGTAAGTAGAAAGTTTGGTGAGAATTTTTTGAGTGTACCATCTCCAAAGCAACAAATGTAAGTTTATATCTGGTTTCAACTTTTCAATTTGTAATATAAAATCTCATAGATGAAATTGCTGTAATCAGGTGGCTTAGTTGGTATTGGTTGGTTAGCATCAGTTTCTATTTACCAGTGCAATTTGGAGACTGAGAGAAAGTGTAGCTTTAATAATCTCATGCTTCATTGAGTTCATTCTTTCATAAATTCTGGCATTATTGTATCTGAAATATGGTACTAATATTTTCTAATTTATTTCACTTCAAAACTAATGTGACTCTGTCACTTTACTCCTGAAGATGTCATGCATTGAAGTAAATTTGATTTTCTTGATCAAAGAATTGAATTTGAAAACAAGAGCATTACAAATGCCACTTCATGGTTCCAGTGGTTTTGTTGTGCTTGTTATGTTGAAACTATTGGAATCTGAAGAAAGTTGAAACCATGCTATGTTGTTTCCTTGTCCTTGTGCTGTTTCTTTAAGTTGAAAAGAGGAACTTGAGCCTTAATATTATCAAATCCAATGATTTGAAGACTGCTACAGTTTCTATGGTTGCTTTCATCAATGTTTCTCTTTTCATCAGTGGTTTAATCATGCCAAAGATGTATGATGTTGTTTCATATGAGTGCATTTATGTACTAAAGGCATGATCCTTTTGATTGATAATTAGTCACCTGTTATGACAGGTTGATAACATCCCAACTTGTCTCTGTATGTGTACAGATTACAATCAACCCATAATTAATTCCTTTGTATTTTGGAGTTGTTTGATGGTTTAGTGTAGTGTCTCTCCCTGTGGTATGTGAGAGTGTATTTGGAACACAAACTGACACATCACACACAGAGGACACTTGAGGAATTTTAATCAAATACTTAAGATTCCATATAATATTAAACAGGCCTTGTAACCACATGCGAACATGTAATGTCACACAGGTTTTCATATAATAGTGCTTACAATAAATATATGCAAGTTTTTCATAGAAATTCTTGCAAGGTAGACCTATGTGTGTGTGTGTGTGTGTGTGTGCGCGCACACATGGATGGGGGGGGGGCGGTTAATGTTAAACTATTCCTAGGAGAACTAGGATGTGATGATGTAAACTGGATGGAACCAGCTAAAAGTAGCGTCCAAGGGAAGGCATTTTTAATCCAATGATGAAATTTTGACGTTATGACAGAAAGAAACCCTTCATTTTCCTCAACTTCAAAAATGTCCCTTGTGAATATTTTAAGGATGAAGTTAAGTTTTCTCCATCAAGTGCACTTTTTGCCTTTCCTTATTTGTTGCTTATATGAGGAGCACTTTGTATCTATATATTGGAAAACCTTAACTATTTTTTGATTTCTCATTTGATTCTGCAGAGTCTTGTTAAATAAACCAGGGCACACACAAAATCTGAACGTCAGTCCTTCTGTTATCTAAAAGGGATAAGGAAGGTATTATTACCACTGGGCCACAGTGAGCCTTTGTTTTGTTCATGGACCTCTAAAATGAGGAATATTACCAACACACAGAGATCCTCCTTGTAAGGCACTAACATATAAAGAACAAAATAACAGTTTTTCGTTTTAAGTGGGTTTGTTTTCTTAGAAATTGGAATGTCTCTGAAATTTTATCTCTCTTTCTGTTTATTCATTCTTTCTTTGTTGAATTATGCTATATCAACTGCAAAGGTCTTCTGTCATCAATAAGGAAAGAGACTGGTAAAGATGAGGAAAAGAGAGCTTGTAACCTGTTGTGATGTAATATCCTAACATATTCATGGGGGAACTGAGGAGAACTACACAGAATCTCAGTCTCATAGTTGATCTTTCAGTTGAGAGGTTTGAAATTGGTGCCTCATGAATGTAACACATGAGTGCTAACTACTACAATGTAATCTATCAATCAGGTTTATAAATTAATGAATGCAAATCATTCTGAATATTTTATGGAATCTTGCACAGTCTTCACATTTCTACCAAATTCTTCCAATTTTAGTCTCTTCACTTTTAGGTGTCATTTTAACAAATCACACAATATTTTAAAAATAATACACTGCTGAAAGAGTTGCTTGGAAACTACTCAGAATGTTAGTTGTAGCTTAAAAACTTTCACCATCACAGCCCTTACAAAGAAAAAGGAGGTGCAAGAGGAAACAGTAATATATGTACAAAACACACCAGATGACACAGAAAAGAAGAGGCAAGAAGGAGAGGAATTGCAAGAACTTTTCTCAAAGAAAATAATTGAAGAAGAAATAACAGTGGAGGTTATGCCTCATCAGGGTGTTCAAGCTGAAGGTATTAAATTTCCATTCATATATATATATATATATATTATGGTCAAATAATTCCTAAACCCTCTGAATTATAGTTTTATGTGGCCATAGAAATTATTCACTTTTTCTGAAAATTTGTAATTATAATTGGCTATTAAATAAAACTTTTGTCCTCTGGAATTTGATGCCAGGAAAGATGTTTGATGGTAACCATTTACCAGATTACACAAGATCATGCCAAGAACATCACAGGTTTAATATTCACTGCTGTGAGAATTTCAGATCTCATACAGAAATGCCCGTGTTCTGATCTTAATATTTTAAGTTACTCAAAAATAAAGGAAGTACTAATGGAATTGTTTGGCTGTTGAGATAGTTGTTCTGTTTCAGTATATGTAGAGAATAAAGTGATATATGTATTTTTATAGACAGAAATTATTTAGTGAAACACTTATTACTTCTTAATTCTATCTGTAGATATTTTTCTGAATAAAACTACTGTTGGATGTACAGCTAACCTTCCTCTCACCTAATATAGATAGAAATGTAATCAGACTGAGATAGTGTGTAATGTATTTCTCATGTGCTTCTATAGAAACAATACTAAGCTATAAAAAGACTAAAATTATAATTAATAAAGGAAAAGTAATTTGTAGAAGAATGGTCATGCAGTGAAACCCAGATAAAGTATACTAAGCGAAGTAACAGAAATTGTCTTCTATACAGTAAGAATCACGGATTCTGTTTTGGGGTAAAACAGCTGGAATTTGAAGCTGACGCCTAGAATATATGGAACTCTACCTTCATAATTTCATTCTTTGACAGTCATAGGTACAATTTCATTTTTACGTTTAAATATGCCATTATAGAAAGCTATGTTGCTCCTAATTCTGTTCGTACAAAGTAAGTTCTAGTTTACTGCAATGCTGCAGAGTGTTTATTGCATAGTCCATATGCTGTACAAATGGTGTACCTAGCTACATTTAAAATGTATTTAGCAATATAACAAAGAGCACATAGTTTGTTCCATTAATTTGTACTGATTTCGTTTGGATTTGGAATGTGCTAAATCGATAACTTTGACCGTTGTTTTGAAGAGCTGGTGTTGTTAACAACAGGGTTATGCCTAGATGAAGGAATTAGAGTGATCTATACACTTTTTATGCTCTTGTTGGGGTGGTTTTATGAAAGGCTGCATATGTAATGTCACTTAGTAAACATGAAATTTGTACAGAATTCCAGTGGGGAAGTTCATAGGAAAGCAGAAATTTAGAGTAACAAGGTGGAGGTTGGAGCGTAATATTAAATTTTATATTCAGAAAAACAGATATGATGACCGTAACTCGCTCAGAATTGGTTTCAATGAGGGGTCTTAGTAACAGTAGTGTTACACCTTTGCAGTCATTTATAACTGGGTTTCAGTGTATGATGTTGCATCTTTTCAATAACCACCATATGTGTTCCTCTATTAGTGTTAGAAGTGCAACAGCCAGAAAGGCAATCTATGTCAACAGTTGAGACTCAGAGTATAATGTATTCTCGTGGCGCTGGAAATGGTGAACGGACTGTCACTATATCTGTAGCTTCAAGTACGCACCAGACAGCTGTGTTCTCAGAAGATGGTTTGCAAGGTACTGTACTAAATGTGTGTTCAAATCATAAACAAGTCTTTCAGTATCAACCAGAATGCATGCTTGGGCTATGTACGAGTGCCATGACCTAAAAGGGATACTGTTATATTCATATGCTATATAGCTCTTTGTACATAGAGTCTTGACAAGACAAGAGCACGGTCTTCTGCACTGTAATGCTATGCAGTAGAGAGTGTCCACAGTCTCTCTCCAAACTACAAGTTATTACAACCCAGAAAACTACACTCTTTAGGTCACTAGTGTGACAACCTCAAATCCAAAATATTGACAATAGTTGAGTCATTTCCCAGACAGTACAGAGCAGGCAGCAGTGAATGAGTTAATTCTGTTTATGCGTTTTACATGTGGATAATTTGGCAGTTGAACATCAAATGGCAAAGAGAGGCTCTGTATTTGCCTGTATGAAATTATCTTGTTGAAATAAGTTAGCTGATCTTGCATCTGTTCTCTGCATAATTAATAAGAATAAAACATAAATCAATTACAGCCCTAATTAGCTCATGTATCTGGTCTGATTTAATTCTAACCGGCTTTATAATGGAGTGTATCAAGGGAAGCCATATATTTCAAAGACAATCACTTTCAAGCGATGGTATATTATAATTTATTTCTTTAATTTGATTTCGTTCTGCAAAGCATGTTAACCTTTCAAAGGCACTAAGGCAGAAATACTAAGTAGATAAGCATAGCCAGAAATCTAAGTAGATGTTACATACAATAAGCCTTATTGCTATACCCTCACGGTAGTTTGTGTATGCTTTTCTTCTTTAGAAGTACTAATAATCTTATTAATATTGCTTGTTTTTTGAATCTACAGACATTACATTTAAATAAAAAACGGGTGAATGTTTATGAAGTGTAGATGTAAAGCACTTCACTTCAAGTTCATTTTGAATGTTTTGACATCCAATAGGTAGTTCATGAGAAATTATATATTTGAAGCATTACTGTGTGGGATATGTTTCCTCAATTTACACATCTTTTGGTTATAACTTGAACACTTGCAGGAAATCCATTCAATGCCAGAGATTTCATTTATTCACCTTCCACAAATCCTGTCGAGAGTACATGGAAGTGCATCATTAACAGATTGTTCTTCAGTCATGCCTTTCAGAATTATCAACAGATATTCATTCAAATTTGATATGTTTTATGGTAACTACAGCAGTCTTAGTCCTGTAGTTATCAGAGATTCTGCAAATTAATTCCTGGAGTAAAGTGTATATGTTGCATACTTCATAAAGGCAGAATGTCTGAATTCAAATGTATTTCAAATATGCATACAAATTGCAAACCCTAAGTAATTTAAATCTCTTTCGTTGATGTAAATTGTTACAATCTTATTGCTTGTAACAGCATTCTGTTTTGTATACTTTAAAATCTCACCATGTTTAATATCCCTTTGTATGAAGTATTATACTACAGCGTCAAGTTGTATTTTAATTAAAACAGATACATATACTATCCACACAACTTTTGTATACAGTTGTGTTTAGTTACTCACAGTATTTTATTTCAGCAACACATTTCAACCATGTGAGGCAACTTAAGTCTGTGTTACATTCCTTTAGACAAAATTACTGTTACTCTATGAGGTGGTATCAGAAAGTTCCTGGACTGTTACTGTTGTAACTGCCTCAGTGAAAGACGATGAGAAGGGAGGCCAAGGTCACACTTCTGCAAGCCTATTGCATCAGTCTGCCACGTGACACTGCACTGTGATCATGCATTGTTTTTACATGAGTGCTCTTTTGACTTTGTGTTTTGTTTTGTCTGCGATGGATGGCAAAATCGAACGTGTCTGCATCAAGTTTAGCGTGAAGCTCAGTAAATCTGAACAATCTGTGAGCTCAGAGACACTTGGGATCAGTTGCAGAGTTTGCCATTAGATTTTAACAGAAAATTTGAACATGTGCTGCATTGCTGTGGAGTTTGTTCCCTGATGCTTGACAAATTATCAAAAGTAGTGGCATGTAAACATGTGTCTTGAGCTATGAGAGAAGGGTAAAAAGGACCCAGCTTTTATCTCTAGGATCATAACAGGTGACAAAAGTTGGGTTTATGGATATGATCCAGAAACAAAGCAACAATCGTTGCAGTGGAAGAGCCCAAATTCACCAAGAGCAAAGAAGGCACGGCAGGTCTGTAGTTCAACAAAGAGCATGCTCATTTTTTTTCTTTACATGAATTGGATTGTTCCCCGTGAATTTGTTGCTCCTAACACTATGGTCAACTCTGACTTTTACTGTGACATTTTCAGATGCTTGAGAGAAAATGTGCGACTAGAAGGACCAGAACATTTGCGGAACCACAACTGGCTCTTTCATCATGATAATGTGCCCACCCACACGTCCCTGAAAACCACAGAGTTTGTGACTAACAACAACATGGTTATCGTTCCGTATTCTCCCTACTCACCGGACTTAGCCCCCTGTGATTTCACTTTGTTTCCCAAATTGAAAATGAAACTGAAGGGACGATGTTTTGAAACAGTGTCTGACAACGAAAGGGAATTGTAAGCGGTACTCGACAGCCTTAAGGAATATGGCTTCCACAGTACTTCTGAAGCTTGGAAAAAATTAAATGAGACAGAGGGTAAAGATCAGTATTGTGTTGAAATCTCAAATAGGTTTGCAGCTTTGGAAAACTTAGACACTGAGTTGGATATTAATAGAGCGCTTGGGAAACTATTAGAGAGAATATCAAAACTCTGGCCAAAGAGAGTCCACGTTATTATGAATTGAAGGAGCATAACCATGGTTCAATGAAGAATTCTCAAAATTTTTCGACCAACAGAAACAAGCCAAATTGGAGTGGTTGCAAGATCGAAGCAAAATAAATGGGGATAATCTGAACAATATAAGACGTGAAACCAGCAGGCATTTCAGGAATAAAAAGAGGGAATATCTGAAAGACAAAATTGATGAGCTTGCAATGAACAGCAAGAACAAAAACATTATAGAGACCTGTATAAAGGAATAAATGACTTTAAGAGGGGTTACCAACATAGGACTAACTTAGTGAAGGATTAGAATGGTGATTTTAATCTTTTCTTGCATCCTGTTCTGTGTTTAATCAGTAGTAGAGTAAATTTACCGACTACACAACACGTTTTTTATCACATTATCACTACATGTTTCGACCTCAAGAGGTCATCTTCAGGTGTATGAACGCAGCTGTATAATTACACGCGGTCACATTCACTTTTCACTCATTCGACCTTGTATCTTTTCCAGACTTACACTCACTAATATATCGAGTTCTTTTATAAAACACAGGTTAAAATTATTATTATTCTAATTTAATTGTTAAATGTTAAAAGTTCGTGAATCGAGGTTCATTTCATGTCACTGTTTAAAGTCAGAATTAAAATTATTATGAAGACGTTGTGTGTGTTGTTGTTCGATTAAATTTATTGTACACTGCTGGTCATCTTGTCATTATTACATTTTTATGTTTTGGAGCAGTTTTAGAGCTTTTGTGCTTGTCTCTCTTTTCATATATGATAATTTCTATTATATGTTCTTTGTGTTGATTCTGTACGATGGCTTTTCTAAGTTTTACATAGAAGAGACTTGGCTCATGCTTAGTTTCAATCACAGACTGTGGATTGATATATAAACAGAAGAATTTGGATTTATGTCCCACTCGTTACTGGTGATGGGGACAGAGATCACATTTGAAATGTCACTTTTAACCAAATGACACCAGTGACAACCCAAAAGGATTTCATTAACGCAACTTTAATATGGCCGTTGAGAAAGATCTTTGAAATGCCAGTGTTACATACATTTTAGAAAAACTTAGAAGAGCCACTGTATACTCACAAGAAGCAACAGAATCTTGCTACAGTCACTTGGAAAGGACTTGAAAGAACCAGCATACAGAATCAAACAAAGGAACTGTAATAGTAAATATAACCAATGAGTGAACGTGCATGAAGACAGAGATAAGCAGGAGAGCCTTGAAGCTGCTTGTGAACACAAATGTTTAATAATTACATGAAGCAAGTGTAGTATATAATAATTGTAATTGCACAACACAAGCAACAGTTTTACCACAGTATTTTAATTTAAAGTCTTAACTCCATATTTTATGTATAGTTTAATAATTAAACTGACCCAGATGTTGGTCAATACATAATATTAAAACAGCAGATTTACCAAAAGGAATGTAACAGATCCTGAAAATGACCAATGTGATCAAAATGGGTTGATGAAATAAAATATTATATGTAATTGATCACAACTGTATAAAGAGATCATGTGGATGAATTACATGTGCATATCTTTTTGGTGTTTGTAACTGAGCAGTTTTCACTCTACAATAAAATATATTACTTGGATTCAGGAGGTAACGTCTAGCTTGAGAAAAATTATTTGATTATTCTTACACTTGTCAATTAAAGGCTGGGATAGTACTTTCAGCCAAGTCTTCAAAATTTATCCATATAACATTCTTATAGCTGCTAAATATTTGTGGTAGTAGAGATATTTCTCTTTCTGATTCAAAAGACAGTTCAGCAAATAGCGCTAACAGCCTGGTTGCTGCTAACATTAAGCTAATTGCAGGTCCTGAGGCAATTCACACTCGTGTGGAAACATCATCAACAAAAGTGGTATGCCAACAGTCAGCTGGAGGTATTCTTATGGAAGAGCTGGAGCCAGGATCTTTCATCATGCAGGGTGAACGAAACTCGGCAACATTAAATAACATCACTCCAAATACAGATGAACTGAAAGATTTGAGAAAGAAACAGGGTGCTGAAGTTTTGGTAGAAGAACTCTTAGAAGATGGTAACTTCAAATTTCCAGTTGTCCAAAACATGAACAGTAAATTAGTTGGCGCTGTGCTGATAGAGGAGCCAACATCTGACACAGATTTTGATGAGCATGACATTAAGAGATCAAAACAATTGTCTGTAAATCGTGGAGTGTCGATAGTGTCTCTGACTTCTGATGATGAGGGTAGTCTGAAAGGCAGTCTTTCTAAAGATCCTAGTGCTGAAGAAGCTTTCCCTTTCAATCAGTGTTCACCCCATGATAACTTAGCCCTTAAGGAACTTCAAAAAGGAAAAGTCATTCATGTAACCTCATGTGGCGTCCAGAATGAAAGACTGGAAATTAAATCAACAACAGAGGAAGATGAGCCACAGAAAGGTAAGCTAGCAGATAAAACATCGGCCAGTGAAATTAGAAATGATTTTAAAGAAGCACAAGTTACTTGTCCAGCACCAGAAGCTAAAAAAGGCTTGAAACTAGATGCAAGTACAAGAGAAGAGTTCAGTTCTAGTGCCCAGAAGCCAAGGATGCTGCTGGGGGAACAAGTACATGAAGCTATACATCAGAAGGGACAAAGGATTGCAGAGGAAAATGGAGATGATCCAGCAATTGAAGCACTATTGCAGAGAATCCAGAAACAAAGAAGTGTTTTGGAGGAAATTCTAGAAAAAGAGGAAGAGAGGAAATGTGAAGGTAAGAAATGATGCTGGGAAGTAGAAGGGAAGAAGTAAAGAATCTTGACACTGCAGAATATAACATTAGCACTTTGCATTCACTTGACATAAGCGTATGAAATTAATGTCTTAACTGCAGTAAGTAATAGGCAGTGTATCTGGATGCTTTTTTATTTGTTGTACAGTTGAAAGTAACTGAACATTAAGTCAAGGTATGTGCTCATCAGTTTTGAATCTATTAATAGCAATAGTATGCTTCATATTACCATAATCATCTTTACAACAAAAGATTTAAAGAAAGAATATTTTCCCTTTTAATTATTTAAAATATTCCAGTTATTCCTGAAACTCTCATATAATTCCACATTTGCAACTTCTTATAAAACTGTATAATATAACACATAAGAGACACTTGAAACTTACCTTTCTTACTCTGTTACCAGCTAAGGGCTGGATAGCAAATGAATATCCCAACAAAGAGGTCAAGGATATGGGGGTGTGCTTACTTGGTAAGGTTATTTCACACCTCAGGCAACAGTGATAGATGAGTATGGAGCAGTGGTGGAATGATTAGCAGGGGAAATCCAAAGTAACTTGGAGGAAAGCCTATTGCATTGCCACATTGTCTATCATAGATCTCATACGAAGTCATCCACAATTGAACCTCGGCCTCTGCACTGGGAAGCCACTGCCTAACCTTCGGTGTTATGGCATGGATAAGGGTACACTAAAGGAGAAAATATTTATCTCTTAATTCTTTAAGTAATCTGTAAAAGAAAATATTTTTGTGAGAGGGTAAGGAAGGTTGAAAATTAAAAAGTCATGGATTATATATGTATCTAATTATGTTTCACTGGGCTTCATAAGGACATCATACACATGTGCACGCACGCATGCGCACACACACACATGTACAGTAAGGAAGGAAGTAGAGAGGTTGCGAAGAGAGAGAATATATTTGTTACTGTGACTACCCATAACAGTGATTTTTGTATCTCAATTTTTTAAGGTCACTGGGATTATTCTGTTTATTTTGAAACTTTCCATAAAGTACATGCATTTCAGTATTGAGCAAATTGAATATTCCAAGTAAGCAGCATAAGAAGTTGTAGGAATCATAGACCCTATTTTCTGATGTTGCACATTTAACATAATATGACGAGTTATGGTTGAATTCCAGTGTCAGTTCATGAAATTTTGTGCCCCATAAATGTTTATATCTACTAGGAAAATTAATGTCAAGATCCTATCTGAAATTCGCTTGATTTAAATTTTTGCAGTGAGTAATGTCCATGTTAACATAAAGGAACAATACATGTGTGCTTGTACACGTTGATAATTGCTCTATTATCTCAGAATTTATTTCCCTTGTAATTTTACTACATTTCTTTAGTTAAGTTCTACTTGCACTAAATATGTTGTGGAAGTTTACTTTCACACGCATAACATGTTCACTAGCTCTAATTTTCTCAGATAACAGAGTGTTACTTCAGTGAGAAAAAATGAATGCATTCTGCTGTTAGTGACTGACTGAGCTACATGCATTCCTGCATTCAGTTTTTCTCAGCAATGAAACCCCATGTATGTTTATGGATTTAAAATAATGCAATACAAGCAGCAGAATTTATTTTCTTATGAATGCTCAGTGCTTTTAAATAATGTTTTTTCTTGTGCTTGTTTCAGATAGGTGTTCTTCTTAACTTCAGTATTCTTCTTATAACATAATGTTTTAAGATTCATTTGAATATGTGATGTTTCATGAGTTCTTACAGGTTCCTTCAATAAATTACTGAAGTGCCAAAGATAATGATACTTAAGCCTTCTTTTTGTTTGGTTTATTTGCCACTATGTGCGAAAACATGTAATATCACTCCATTCATATATCTACTTTCTGAAGAACGGGGTATTCATATAGAAGAATCATCTCATTTTTAGTGGTACTGACTCTGACATTTCATAAACAATACAAACACACTTAACACTCATCATTTTGTAAATTAGTCCCATTTTAATTGTAGATTGCATGAAGTGCTAACTGTGAGTGTGATGTCTGTTTTCTTTTATGCTGGCTTGTTCTGCTCCTGGACTCTGCTACAATTTGGTAAGTTCAAAGATTTTTCCTCTTTTTTACTCATAATACAACGAAGGTAAGACCTGAGTCAGAGATATTACGGACTTTTACAGTATGTAGCAACTTATCATGAATATTTCAATATTTTAACTGAAGTTACATTATTATAGAGGCTGATTTTTCTTGTGTTTAATTGCATTAAAATATCTAACCTGAGCAATATTTGCTCTAATATAGTTTGAATGTCTAGAAATGGGATCTTATAAGACTTTGTAATCTCTTCTTGTCCTTTATGATATACACATATATATGTTTCTATACTTGCATTTAATATATTGCTGTTGAATTGAATGTCTTGTTAAATATTCAAATAGCAAAAATTATGCGCTTGAATTTTTTGCTATTTGAATCCATGACCTTATTTTGTCAGTATTAACTGAAATTTGTATGGAGCATGCACTGTGCTACCTGTCTTCATTCAACGCATGTGTACTTGAGCAGTCATATTACCATTGAGATGATCCTGCTGTGTTGTCAGCACAGATACATATTGTTTCACTTTAATAAGCGCACATAAAGGTTAATGTGATATTAAACATTTATGTGCAGGTTCAATTATTTACATACATAATACATAGCATTGTTGTTGATTGTGTGAAGAATATATTGGTGGGTGTGGTTTTTCAGCTGTTCCTCAAATTGTTGGCACTGATATGGATGACAGAGAAATATATGAATCACTCTGTACTGCATACGAGGTTCGAGCCAATGGCATCCCAAGGCCAGAAGCAAAGTGGTGGGTATATGCTGAGGTATTTGACTGGAGGTAATTTTGTTGAACTTTTATTTCTATCTTCAATTATCTGATGTTGTTTGCAGGTACCATGATGGGGCTGAAATCACCCCTTCTGATCGTGTAAAGCTGTCAGACAGTGGTGAATCATACAAGTTGGAACTGAAGGATGCTCAGTTGTCTGATTCTGGAACCTACAAATGCAAAATTGCGAACAGACTGGGAGAGAAGACTCATGAAGCCAAGCTGTCACTTATTTGTACGTTTTGTACTGCTTGTAACTTTCCTTATGCCAGATCATTTTAGTTTACTTCTAGTACACTTGTACTCGTATACTCTTGCACTGTTCCATTTTTACATTCAGTAGCTTGCATCTGAGAGGACAGAACTTGCTACTCACTTATTGCTGCATGTACTCTTTCACCACATATGAATAATGTATTTTGCTGCTAGTGTGGACTCAACTGTACTGCCTCTCCTTACCTCGTGTCTTAGATTTCATACGAGTTGCATCTCTATAATAGTCTGCAAGAGCAGAGGGTCAGTCCATATAAACTCAACCTGGGTTGCAACCTGATATCCTCAGAATTGAATAATGTTTTTGAAACTGTATTCCCGATAGAGCTCAGTATTCATGAAAATTTTACTCTTTAAGACCACAGTGTTTTTTAGACCAGACAGTTAGGTCTGTGAAAGAACTCGTTTTTTGGGGCAGAAGTTGTCTTAGAAAAAGTGGCATAACTTCTGTCTTAATTGAGCACAGAGCTAAGTTTATACCATTTCAAAGCTAATAAAGTGGCCTTTCAATTTACATATTGCACCAATATATTCAGGACAGTTATGCTTTCTGAGTGATCAGGTTTGACCGTTCAATTTGTATTTCTGAAAATGCGGTATATTATGGCCCCTTTACACAGAGAACTGTGCGATCAGTATGCTGAAAGACATGATTCAATTGAAAGCCACTACAGCCGTTGAGACATATACACGTATGTATGCATGCCAATTTCTGAGAATTAGGATTTATACTAGGAGCTGGGATAGCTGAGTCAGTATAGTGATCAGCTATGAGCTGGATGAAAAGGGTTTGGTTCTTGGCAGGCTAAAAAATTTTTCTCTACTCCACACTAACCAGACGGGTTCTGGGTCCCACTGAGCCTCCTATCCAATGGGAAGAATTGTGTAGCTATGCCTTCACTCCCCAACATGTCTTCATAACATGGTGCTTAATAAAGCACAGGGACCATAACATGGTACTTAATAAAGCACAGGGACAACTTTACCTCTCTTTTTTCTTTTGCCCTTTAAGACGTGTAGTATGTGTCAGTGATGAATCAGATGACACTTCTATGTCAAGATTCAGACCTTTGTATTTCCATTTGCATAAATTTATTATTAACCTTTAAACACCGGAGTTTTGAAATGGTGGTAATCTTGAGCTGGCCAGAGTTTATTTAAATGCCCGCTGCTGCTGCTGCTGCGCATTTAAATCCCCGTTGCTACTGTGCGTTTAAATGTCCGTTCCTGTTTGGGCGCTTGAACAATTTTAAGCGTTGTGTTTAAAAATGCTGTATCTAACATGATTTTTATGATAAATGGATGGAATTAACTTTGTTTGCATCAGCAAAGAACATAGTGTCACATATTATATCGGAAGGTTTGAAAATTTGTATACAAAGAGTTATACGCTATTTTCAAATTTTATCTTTTACTTTTGATGTGTACTGCAAACATGGTTTCCCAGTTCTTTGCAGAGTTGTTCTGCATTATAAATTAATTTCTGTTTGTAACAGTTGACAAATTTTAGCAGTCCCTGGTGTCATAAAACAGATAGAAGCAATAAAATCATTTGGTTCTCTGCTCGAAAACCTTACAACTTTGTTACACCCTTCGGATTTTTCGAATCTTTTGACTAAAGGACAGAAGAATGAAAGCATGGCTATTCAAGGAATAGCTTTGAGGGGACCCTTCTTCAGTGTTAAGACCTTCCATTGTAGCTGCAAGAGATTATTGCCTTTTCTGTGGTCGTGAACGGGCAGTTGCATCATGGCTGAGATACAGAGTGTGATCTGTTTTCTGTGCATTCATAGGGAAATCGAATACTATAGTTTAATTTCAACCTATATATACATCAAGCAGATAACAACAAAAAAGGTATGCACATCGAATTTTATTATATATTTTTAACACATTAATCTGCAGAAACTACAATAAAAGTACTGGCTTCTGGATAAGTTTGGGCATAACTCATACGTATACTCTTTTTTGCTGTTGTTCACTTAGGTATCATTTTAATTCCTCTACTAGGGTTTTACTCAAGTTTGTCTTGTAATTACTACATATAAAAATAAATATTAAGGACTGTGCATGCACTTCTACTAGCGGCGTGTACGCGCGCTTCCATTAGCGGAGTTTAAATGCCCGACTGGCCAAAACGGGGTATTTTGGCCATGTTGACCATACTCATCACTGGCCCGATCTGGGCACTTCAAACATTAAAGGTTAAGTCTATCAGAAACCAGAAAGTTTGAAATTTATTTCTGAGCTTAGTACCAATGATTAAGACACTTAGCATACCTGTATATTCTGAACCAATGTTATCCCATCTTAGTGCCACTCAATCAGAAAATTGTTACAGAGATTTATCAACTTTAGAGCTAAATTCCCATTACAATTTTTAATGGCCTGTGTTGCAGAAGTATGCACTGTGTATGTATCTTTGTTTTGCAGCTGTGAATGAGTTCAGAAAGCCAAAAATCACGCAGCCATTGTCATCTGTGTCAGTACCTAAGAATGAACCAGCTGTGCTAGCACTTGTGCTCACTGCAGATCCCCTTGCAGATGTCAAGTGGTCAGTTGAAGTATTGTTGAGTTTGTGATTGTGCTTACTTTAGTTAATTATGCTTACAATTTATTAACATAAAATAGCTACAGATCTGCCCATACACTCTGAAGCATTTAAGGCAAAGCAGACATCATAAATTACTGTAAAATTTTATTCACATCTCCTTCCAAGTAATGACCCATGTTCAGCCCATGGTAATTTAGCTAATTTAGCTACCTAGATAATACATGAACTATATAAATAATAGATTCCCCATTTAACACTATACTTCATTCCCAGTTTTCATTATCTCTCTTAGTTCAATTTTCCTGAGGTCTTTGCATTCAGACGCTTGCAATATATGTTCTTCCTTCCCTCAGTATCAGAGATACCATTTTACAACCATAAATAAAAACTGTCAAAAATTCTTGTTTTATTTAACTTCAGTCCTTTGGGAAGTAGGTTTGTGAACTGAAAAATAACAACCATTTCCTGAATTTATTCTTCTCTTAAAACCACAAACTCATTCCCCCCCCCCCACCCTTTTATGGTTTATCGTAGATATTTACAATTTGGCACATTTTCAATTGATTTATAACCTGTAGAGTTTGTATGAAATTTCTGTGTCTTGACATTCCCATGTAGTCTCATGTGCATGTATTACCATTATGTAAAAGAATTTTTGCATAGAGTATGTAGCTAGAAACATTTCAAGACATGGATAATCTAACAACAATAATATTATGGCTAGGCAATGACCATGAAACAAGCAAACAGCCATTGGTAAACAAGCATGTTTCCAGGGCAACAAGAGAGCACATCGACAATGGAAGAGATGTTTTCTGTGTGGTCTGTATTGCGGTGTTATAAGCAGGACCAGTTACCAGTTTTAGTTAGAGAACTGCTGTGGGTCAGTCATTGTGAGCTCCTGCTGTTAGAAGCTGGTAGCTGAGACCGGAGACAGCTCATGAAACCAGAGGAAAGGGAACATCTGCTGATAGCAAGCAACAGCAGTGAAGATGCGACTGTGGACACTAGTGTGTGTGTAATAATACACGCAGTGTATCAAAGTGTGCAATAAATGGAGTCATCAGTTGAAAACCTGTCTATAGTGACATTTCATCATGTGACACTATCTCTGTTTCAATAAACTTTTCACTGTATTAACCCCTCATGTAACATTCCAGCCTTGTGAGCCAACTCTGAAAACACTGGTGCATCTGAGTTTATCATACTATAACAGATTCTATTAGTTTGCCTCAAAGTACATTTTGGGGATAGAAAAAGGCTCACCTTGAAGGAAACCTGGACAGTTGAAAATGAAGAACATCAGGCTGCCAGGTCTGAACTGTGGGATGGATGGTGGGAGTGTGCACAGACATGAGTTTCAAGATAATGGGAACTATGGTGACTACATGAAGGCACTGTCTTTCCAACACTGGCCTTTCATTTTGAAGGGATAGGTGAAGTGTTGTCAGCAAAATTCCAAGAGATTATGCACAATTTGGAATCATGTTGGTAGATTTTATGTCCGCTGTTTATGACGGTGTCATAATTACTGCTGTTAGATCATCCGAACCTCTCATGTCATGATTATGTTCTTGTTCATTTCAGGCTCCAGGCTGTGAATCACCTCTTGATATCATATTTTCCTTTCTTGAAATTTACCATGTAAGATAGCAAAAAGCATTGCCATGATTTCTGCATCAGACATGTTTTCCTCTTTCACTTCTGTGGTTACTTGTCCACTACTGTCTTTGTCTTTTAGACGGGTTCTTCTCCTCTTGAATTTCAAAAAAGTACCAAAAAACTTTATCATATGATGTAGCAATGCCCAGTGAAGTCTGTCTCAAAAGTTTAAAAGATGGGATATAATTTCAGTTATTATGAAGTCATACTGATGAATGCCATTAAAATGTTGTCTCAAGCATCATAATATCTCATTAGCTGTAGTTCAGTGTGGCATGTTTGAGCTTGCATTTCTTGTGGCACAGAATTGGTTTGCTGTTAACCGGCGCCAAAGTTATTAAAATAAATTGTAATTTGAAGTTATGTATCCAGAATTCTCACCTCTGCCAGATCAGTTCTATATTTTGAAACTTTTATAACGACCTACATTCATGTTCCGTGCAGGTTCCATGATGATGTTGAGCTGACTGAAGATGAGTTCCACAAGTTTACTCTTGAGACCAAGGATGTTGATGATGGGCTGAAGGAATGCACATACACGCTTACCATCCCTTCTGGCCGCCATAAGGACACTGGTCAATACAGATTTACTGCTAAGAACAAGTTTGGAAAGGATGAATGCAGTGTAAGTGACTTGTGAGGTAATGTTCGACATGTGAACACTACCAAATTTGATCACTGCCATTCCACGTGTAGATTTATTGCTGCTACAATTTCAGTTCAGATGCTTGTAAATTTGGATTTTTAACTCAATGTTCTCACTCCTTGCTGTCTTTGTGCAACTTCATATATATATATATATTAATATTCATGCTTCAACGTCTATATCTTGTCGCGTTATACAACACTGCATGTTTCGGCCTAACTGGCTGTCATCGGGTGTATACGTGTTGGATTAAAGGAACCTGCTGCTCTGTGTCACACTGTTCTGTTTTTTATTTTGATATAAAATGCTTCTAAAATATTGTGTTTTAGGTTATTTTTAGATTATCATGCCATTGTTACTTTATTTGTGTGTGCATGTCTTGTGTATGTTTTGTTGATGTATTGGTTTTATCCTTTTATACTGCATGTAGCTGTTCTAATCCATCTAATATATCAATGGAGTTATACAAAGACAGCAAGGAGAGAGAACACAAAATTAGAATACACAGTGCTGTATAATATTGGATTTTTACGTTACAATCGTCATCGTCATCACCATAATCTTCCTCTTCTTGTACTCTTCCTCATCCTTCAAAATCCAGAAATTAAAGAGATTTCCTAATTCTGTTATTTTAATGGGTTGTTATTTGGTAAGTTTTGTGCAATCCTATCAGTTAATATTTTTTTAATCATGTCTCTTGCTGGCAAAATTTACAGTTTGCTAATTTGTGGGATTTTCGGTTTTGTTACTATAGGCCCGGTTGGATATTCTCCTGATGCCTGAAATTGATGGCCTCAAGGACTCACAAAGAATACCATATGAAGACATTGAATTTGAAGTTCTCATTCTTGCCAACCCTAAACCTCAAGTTGTCTGGTAAGTTGAACCTTATGCATGTAAGTGTAAAGAACAATTATGCCCTTTTGTATTAATTCATCATGAAACTTCTCTATGTTTAACCACTAGGTTATTTCATTAAGAGTAAGTGTGTGTGTGTCTCTGTGGGTTTAGAGGCAGGTCACCTTCCAAAGTTATTTGTGTCTGTGAAATAAATAGTTTTATACTTTATCATGACTTACTAATTACAGACAGTAATACCATACTTGAACATGGAATGATTAATGTTGCAATTTATGTTATACTTTTTTTTTAGAGCAATATAGTAACTGGCTCATTTCAGAGCAGACATATGGGTATAGTATACATTTTCAGTGAAAACTAAAAAGTAGGAACACTATTTATGCTCTCATGATTAGGACACAATTGGAGCAGTTATAATTTCATGAACATTTGCATGATGTTTATTACTGAAGATGGTTTAGATAACATGAAATTACCAAAACCTGCATTTATTCTTTCTTCCTTACATTGTATTATTTGATTTTCATGTTATATCTGAAGTTCCTTTAATTTAGGACTAAAGATGGAGAGAAAATTGAAAACACGGAACACACTAAAATTACGGGAGATATTGAGAAGGAGATTTACAAGCTTTACATCTCTAACATTGGTCTGAGAGATCATGGAACTTACACTGTTACTGCCACCAACAGTCAAGGAGAGAGTAGCCAGACCGCAAAATTCCACGTACATAGTAAGTAGATTGATTCTCAGCCTACCACTCAGTGCTGACATTTACATTCCTCTTTCTTGCTTTTGAAATTTGAGAGCCAAATGCTTTAACCCTTTCACTGTCATAAGAGCCTTCCTAGTATTCCAACTGTTGGATATGTAACTTTGATAGATCCTTATTTTATTTGGAAGAGAGTCCATGGTTTCTTTTGATACAGGAGTAGAACTGAGATGTTCATAATGCTTAAGATGTTCCATGATTGTATTGGGGTTGGCCCTAAAAATGGAACCAGATGCCTTAAAATGTGTATGATCATTGTATTGTAAACGGTTATAATTAAGACTGGCAGTGGAAAGGTTAAAAAACTTTCTTTTACAGAAACATTTTGCTGACAGCTATGAAAAACCACGAGTTATTTAGAAACACTAAGCCCCATTACCAGCTTTATGCATTTAAGAATGCTGAAAGCCAAATCATTATCATTTATTAATGTTTCTACCATGATGAACTGTTTTATGACAAAGCTGCTTTCATTTTTCTCTTCCAGGACACAAGTATGAATTTGTTTCCTCTTCTCACCCTCTTTGTAGTGTTTTTCATGCTTATTCTTTCCAGGTCTTCTGAGTACTATTTGTTCATAATCTTTATATTTGACTCTCTTGAAGGGATCTTGTTTTCTGCAGTTGTTCTTATAATTTTCCACCTTGAAGTATTTTCTAAATGCCCTGATTTCAAATTGTAAAAATCAGATAAGAAAAAGTAAAGGTATCCCTGTCACAGGCTGTGGAGGGCCATAGGGTTGTGAGATGTTGAGATTCCCACATTTTGTAGACAGTCGGCTCATAGATGGCGGAAATGTTGTCAGCCCTACATGCCGGCTGCCCTTTACCCCCAAGAATATTCCTGGTACTCATTTCCGTTAGAGGCTGAGTCGACCCCAGGACCATAGTATGGCTGGAAAGATTAGGTGAATTGAAAGAAATCCAATGACCTCATCAGAATCCAATCCAGCGACCTTCTGGCTTGTAGCATAGTGCCTCCACCAACTATGCTACTGCGTGCCCCTTATAAGAATCAGATTCTCATGTAAATACAAAGGCATGCGTTTGCTTTGCAGCGGAGCCTCCTTCATTTTTGAAGAATCTGGAGGATCAGACTGTCAAGGACTATGATGATGTAGAATTTCGTGTCCGAGTTAATGGAGTTCCGAAACCTCATATCAAATGGTAAGATAAGTTACCATGAAGGAAACACAAGAGCTAATGTCTGTGACTTCTTAATTATCATTAAGCTGTCTGTAACTCTCAATTATTGCAGTCTCTCCTCGTTCCATATCTTCAAAATACCCATTCCACAGCTTTCAGTTGATATCTAATGTCTTAGTTGATTTATCAGTTTTCTGTTCTCCCATTCTTTCCTCGTGTCCATGCCATAACAGTGTTGTCACATTTCTGCTGAGAGCTGGAATTATGATGCCAGCAGAGACAGCTATTTCTTGGGAATGGCCCTGTAAACACATCCATTGTTAGGCAGTGGTTCAGTGGACATCACGTGATAATGGACACACTTACAAGCAACAATGGAACACATGGTGCCATGTCACCAAATACATCACCCGTTGCTAGGCGATGGCACAATAATCACATCTCCACGAAAGCAGTGACATCATGAAACAACTGGAGAATTGGTGGAAGCAGTGTTTTCTGTTGGGCTCATCCCAAGGCTGTATCGTGAGAACCAATGGGGCACATGAACGGGTTTTGAGACAGCAAAGTTAGAAGAGTAGGCGGTTTTGTGTGAGATGACCATGAGCCTGCATGGACATGAGCCTGAAAGCACAGGAATATCCACTGTTATAAGACATTACCCAGCAACACAGTGAAGACCATGACTGTGTGTGATAGTGATTTATAAAGTATAGTCATGTGTGTCAAGAGTCATTCTTGAACCATTAAGGCATGAGGATAGCGCTTTTTGGAAGACTGTGACCAGGAAAAGCCTAGTTGAGTTGTGAGATAGATGCCAGCCAACAAGGACCGGAGTCATGGAACGTGGAAACTGAGGAAGCTACGGCATTGGAAGTCTGACCAGATGACATCCGGTGAAGATGCAGCAGACTGAGGAGACTTAGTTCATGCTGTAGTGAATTGTAGAATGCAAGAGTTAGCGAAACTACTATAATTAATTGTAGTTACAAGTTTCGAGTCCAGTAAATCTGATTACCAATCCAACCCCATCTATAGTCACTCACTCACCTGGCAATAGGTTATTTTATGTCCTGAACATGATCTTTCCTCTGCATTCATTTCAAGCATATTCACTTTCAGTGATTATACCAAAACAGTGGAAATTGTCAGTTCATATTTCACATCAAACACAAATATGTTATTTCTGACAAACTCTTTGTATTCTTTTGTTCCTTGGAATATGAAGCAGTTGGTGCTCAGCACAAGCATTTGCTATATTCATGATGAATGTGAGTCATCTGGTGATAGCAGTTACCAGGATTTCCATGCCCACAAATAAATGTTATAAAACTAAAAGTGTTAAACTAAATTACAGTAATTCACTGTTTATTTCTGGACACTGTATTCAGTTCAGTTATATGGTGTCACAGTGAGAAAGGGCAAAATCATTGTATTTGGGAGGGGGGATATAGCAGGAAGTTTTCATAGCCTAGTTTAAGGAGCTATCCTCTTGTTACCTAAAGGAATTGAGCAACATCACAAAGGATCTTTATTAGGAGAGCAGTTTGTTGTTTAACCATATATTATGTTGGCTAAGATTATGTTAGGTTGGGTTATGATAGATTAATTAAGAAATGTGGTAATGCAAAGCAGGTAAGAATTTTGTGCTTCATTTGAAAGCCTCAATGGTTGTGAACACAAGAATATCCATATATAGGGCTGCATCTTCAGCATTCTTTGATAAATCGTTAACATTCTGGAAGGAATTCTTTATATTGTCATGGATTTATTGACCACTTGCACATGACCGGGAAGTACAAGCAATTACAGAGCCACCATCTCCACAAGTCACAAAACACCACAGCACCCACTAAGCCTTTTCAAGCCTGCTCTGTCTTCATCAGCCATTCCCTGCCAAAGTCTTCTAACAGTGGAAATCCTTCAGCTTCAGATGCTCAGGGCCTATCTTCATAGCTCCCATGCAGAACTCCTGCACAACTGACTTTCTTCCATGCTTATAACATCTCACCATCACCATGTAAAAACACCCCTTTTCCAACAGTAACTCTGTTGTTGCATACATATTCATTGCTATGGGAACTTGTTTACTGAGCCATTGCCCAGAAATGGCTGTTGTTTACAGAGTCACAGCTTAGCAATGTGTCTGTATGCCACAATACATTTTGGAATATATCGTTGTGTCTAATGCCTCCATTTATGGATCATTTTCAAGGTGGAGGCATCCAAGGACTTTTCTATATGTGTTCAGTGCCATATGACAACATTACCAATCCTGATTTGTCTTTACTCCCATAAAGTTTGGGTTCCCAGCAGGGACATGGATTTTTCTTGCCACCAAATCCAGTCTAATCCACTTATGTTCATCTAGTGTTGAGGTTAAGAATGTGTAGAAATGTATGTCTAGTAGTTCATCATGCTTTCATGGCATTGTGCTTAAACACAACAAACAGTTTACTTTTACCTTTCACTGGGCTTCTCAATTTATTGGATACTTGAAATGGAAGTGCTTTGTATGGTTATCAGACCTTAAATTGCAAGTTTTTGGAAACTGAGAGTAAAGGAAATAGTTGGACCTGTGTGAGATGAAGAGAGATGGAAATGGAGAAAATTTCATGCTGAGGGACTCTGTAATGTTTTGCAACACAGAGTAGCCATTGATGTTTGCAGTGGCTATGTTGTAAGGAACAACAAATGTATAAAAATATTTGTGCAGAAATCTGAAGAGGAGATGGGAGGAGTACGTTAAACTGTGTCACGGGAAAGTTGGGTCTGAGGATGTGAACTGATTTGAACTGGCTAAGGGTATATGCAGTGGCAGGCTTTGGTACTGGCAATGTATTATGATCATGGCATTGCTTGATGATCAGAATAACAAATATAATGCAATTTTTGGTTGTTTAGGTTCAAGGATGGCCAGGAATTGAAGAGTGAAGGTAGACTGGCTGTTGAAACAGATTCTGAAGTTCTAGTATCCAGTTTTATCAACATTAAACATTTCAACGAAAGTGATGTGGGCAAGGTGAGTTTGGCATTGATTTGTAAGGTAAGGTAAAGTTGTCCCTGTGCTTAGATTATTAAGCATTACACCATGAAGGCATGTTGGGGAGTGGATGTATAGATCCACATTTTTTTGACCTCAGCACTAGTTGGAGATGAGTGGTCAGCTTTGCATCCTGGCCGTTTTACGTCCAGTGAAATGGCCCACAGGTACTAATTATATAGAAGGCTGGGTGGGCCCCAGAGCCGGTCTGGAGGACATGGAGAAAGAACATTTTTGACCCCACCAGAACTCGAACTCTGACCCTTCGGTTTTCCAATCCATAGCCAGTCACTAAACTGACTACACCATCCCAGTTCTTGGCATTAATTTGTGCTGTGTGAAATAGGAAATTAGCATGGTTTCCCTGAACTAGCGTTGTAGCACTGGATTTGCAAAAATTTCACATTTATCTTTACAGAAACATCAGATTGATGAATCTGTATGGGTGAGAGGCATGGTTCCTCCATGCAACGTTCTTCACCAAAAAGGAATGAGTGACTAAGACTCCGCCCCTTTGAGCCTGTCACTACTCTTATAATCAATAATGCTGTAATTTTTTCTGATTGAACAGTACAGTGTGACAGCATCCAACTTGGTTGGTCAAGTAGAGACGAGTGCTAACTTGACCATGGCTCAGATTCCTCCTTCATTTGGACGCCCCATAGACCGAGCCATTGAGGTGGATGAAGGAGACATATTGGACATTAAGACAAAACTAGATGGAAGCCCTGTTCCAAAAGCACAATGGTAGGTTCAGAATATAACATGTTTTCTCTCTCTTGAGTTACTGGGAAAAATTAGAGCTGTCTTTAACCTTTAGTAGGTTATCATGCTCTGAAAGTATAAACGACACACAGAGAGAAGTTCTGCCTCAAATATTAAGTTTCATGGTTGTGCTGTGATCACCCTTATTGACAGAATAGATACGGTTGCAATCTGTATTCCCACCGGACCAGACAAAATACGTTGTAAGATGAGGCATCGGCCAAACAATTATTACCAAATAATCTACACCAATACCATGGGCCTCCAAGCAGTTTACTATATGTCTACAAGTGTAGAATATACCATTATGTCCCTGGGAATATAACAAGATTGCAACAACTGACTTCATGATATGTAATATCACATGAAGAGTTTTTAACCATATTTTATTACATAACTTCCGTTTTATAATCATTTTATAATTTTATTGTATTTTTATACCTTGTATTTTTTGGTGTAACATAGTTGTCAAGTATCCAGCTCTACTGTCACACTGAAATGCAGTTCAGTATTGTGTGAATACAGTAACCATGTATTTTGCCTGATGATGGCTTTAAAAGCCAAAACATGTAGCTAAGGTGATGTTGACCTTGACTGTTATGTTGTTTTGTTATGATGGAATCCAATAAAGAATTGTATATAATAAACAGAACAGGATGCACAAAATGAAAATGACAGAATATGTGTGTGGCTTGACTTCAGAGTCTGTCTGAGTACAGGAGTCACACAGATCTGTATTAAATGTTCATAAAACTTCTCAGTTAACTCCTTCAGTATCAGATTTACAAAATGTTTTGGAATTGTAGAAAAGTTTTAGGAATGGAAACAATTGAAACGTCTAAATAAACGCATTTGGATTGTGCCAGTATAGGGCTGAAGTCAATTTTTATGGTTCCTTCAATAATACCTTCATATGATAGTGACTGTACGTGGGTTTTGGTTTTAAACTAGATTTACTGGACACTGAATCATCTTATTAGCATATGAATACAGCAATTTACAAGTATTCACAGTCATTCATGTGTTTGACTGCTGTTGTTCAGACTCTCAATGATTTGTGTCACAGATTCATTGCAGGTTGCAGGGTTTTCTCATCACAGGCTGTCTGTATATCACCTTGTTGTGGGCTCCAAGGGTTCCTTGACTGTCCTGGATGCATGTATGCATGCAATTGTCCCAAGAAGCCTCCAGGCATATTAATGATTACTCTGCTCCAGTAGGACCTCCCTATTATGCCTATGGCTGCCCCTTTTAAAGGAACCACAAAGCCATACTAGGCCTGACGTTCATCCTTTGGCTTTGATGTTGTCCAGCCTTCATTCTCTTTAGAAGCAGCCCCATGCTGCCATTATCCAGCTGCTGTCTCCTTAGGGCTGCATATGCTCTCTGACATTATCATCTAGAGGTGCATGCCTCTGCTAGTGTCTTCAGCCATCTAAACAGGCAGTATCCTTGGGGGATCAAACTGGCACTATCATCCTACCTTTGGTGACCTAATCCCGATCCTGCTAGGATATCACCGCCTCCCGGTGGACTTCCAGCTGCACCATCATGACTGTCCCATACCGAGCCAGTGCCACCTCACTGCTGCCCTTTGTCACTCCCTGGGGCATAGCTGGTGCATCTTCCTTGCTCAATCATGGCACATGGCACGTGTCATTTTATGTAACGTCTACAGGGATGCTGTGTAAAGTGTAGTGGCTTGCCCCTGCCAGATGGCAGCTAGTTGCATGACCATCTTACTAGATGTCCAGTTATTGTCGACCTCCACAGCCTTGAACTTGTAATGAAACAAGTCCAGGACATGGCCCCATCATTCCATAGCATCATTATTCTGTCTGTAATGCTTACTGTGTTCCTGTAACCTCCACACCCCACTTGGGCATCAATGTATGCTGCTCTTATCTTGAGTTCTAACCATGTACCTTCTACCACTGCCTTTGTTGTTTTTATGTCTAGTTCTGTCCCTTGCATCTTGCTGTCCAGTTCATGGTAGAGGTTCTCTTTTGCCTCTTGCATCTCACAGCTGAGCTCTTTGAGGAGACTTTTAGTTCACTTATAAATTTATACTTGGCCACCCTCCACCTGTTTGCTGGTAGTTTCTTCAAATCTGGTCTGAGCCGACTGGATAGCATATACTGCTGTCTTTATTTCTTCTTGGCTGGGATTTATGGTGGCCATCATCTTGGCTTTCGTATCATCCTTGCTGGCCTTCAATTTTCCCTTCAGCTGCCCTTGGCTGGAACTTGTTACTCTTAGCATACATTCGAACCTGTCCATGATCATTTGTTGCGTTGGTTCCAATCCACTATAACACACACACACATCTGACAATTGCTCACATGATATTGACTATACATGAGTTCAGGATGGAGCTTGGATTTATTGGACACTGAATTTTCTTACTTACAAGTGATTACAACACTTGACAAGTCTCCACAGTTCACAGTCTGTTAGACTGCTCTCTTTCAGACCATTGGTGCTCTGTGTCATAGACTCATTGCTAGGTTGCAGGGCTGTCTGATCATGGGCTCTTGCCAGCTTGCAAGCTGTTTGTATATCACATTGCTGTTGACCTCAAGACAACTCTCACTCTCAGGGTTTGTGATGGGTGTATTTGTTTCTTTGGATTAATGTTTAGGCATCTTGTCACAGTACATTGTTAGAGTACACCAGGGAACTTTTAAAATGGAATTTGATAAAGAAACAATCAAATATAATTCCTTTCATAGCATCCACTCTTTTATTATCTGCTTTAAAAGAACTAGATTTTTGTTGAGAATAACAGTGCTGCTGTACTGTAGTAATTAGATACAAGTTTCTTTGGCTCTGAATTATTCTTACTTTCAGAATTATTTTAGATTGTACAACACTTGATACATTTTAGGTTAAGTTTCAGATATACAGCATTTGTAAAACATTATGTAGGATATCATGTCAGTTCAGCATAATCAAGTTTCCATTCTTATACAGGTATAAGGATGGTGAGGAACTAGCTACTAGTGACCATGTCAAGCTCACAGCGTTGCCAGATGGAACTGTAAGATTATATATTGATAATGTGTTGCCAGCAGACTGTGGAGCATACAGGCTTGTTGCCACCAACAAGAATGGAGAAGCGACAGCCATCTGTGCTGTTGCTGTCAAGCGTAAGTACCTTATAAGTGTCTCTTTTGTACATCATTTTACTCCTCGTGTAATTGATTATCCAGTATCAATGGATTCTTGTTGTCATTCAATGTAAGGATTCTTCAGCGCAGTAAAATAAGCCCATCATTAGTTCCAGTTGTTAGCCAGTCCAATTCAGTTTTCATTCTTACATTGTCAAGCTTAAGTATTTTATAAGTGAACATTCCTCAGCCTCACATGCCATGTTATTTCATGATGCAAGGTTGTCCTTGAACAATTGATATTCCACTATCAGCAAAGACTTGCTGTCATTCATTACAAAGATTTGTCATCACAACAAAATAAGCCCATAAGAAAATTAGACATGTTGAAGGAAGAATCAGAAAGACACTGGAAACACAGCATAAAGTATTTCAAAAACACAGTGCACTTTCTAACTGAACATATGCTGTTTTCAAGCATCTGACCACGTGAAATCGAAAAGTAAACACTGATTTGAAGCCATCATTACTGGCTTCCAGTTGTTGGTTGTGGCATGCTGAAGCCAATTATTCATAAGTAAATATTACTGAACAACTTTCTTTTTTAATATTCAAAATATGTTCTTACAAGCCCTAATGAACTTACGCATTGCAGCCAGTAACCGCAAACCTGCCTTTGTAAAGCCACTAGAGGATGCAAAGTCTGTTGTTGGGCAGCCCCTCAAGTTAGAAGCCCAAGTCGTGGCATTTCCAGCACCAGAGATAAAGTGGTGAGTTTTAACCATTGGTTACATAATGGCCTCACCTTTCTGTATAAGTGGTAGGTGGAAAGTTGGTGCACCGAAACCCCGTTTAACACATTTCTGAGAAACAGTGGATTTGAATGCTATACTAATTGAGAAACACTTTATATGGAGGGAATTTAGCAGTGAGATTACTGACTTTATATGTTAAAAAATGTCAGAACTCTAGGTCTTATAATATGAGATATTTGATATATACTTTCTCAGCTCTATAACTGTTTTAAACATGAATTAGTGCAGGTCATCATCATCAGTAATCTGTCAAGACGGCAGGTCCACAGTCTCTTCCAAAACAATTCCTCCACTTAATGCGATCTAGAGCTTTCTCCTTCAAATGACAGTATACTCTTCTGTCCCCAAGGTCATCCAGCATCTTCTTACGTCTTCTTCCTCGTCTTCTTGTCACTTCTATCCGCCCCTCTATCTTTCCTTCGATAACTTCTTTTAGAAGGCAGTTTCTGTGTAAAACATGACCAATCCAATTAGCCTTCCGTTTTCTTATTTCATGTAGGATATTCCTCTGCTCACTGACTCTAA